ACAGTACCGCACATGAGACTGCTGTTCAAGCTCGAGAGGCAGGCGGGGGTGGGGGGAAAACCCCTTGCATGGATAAGGAACTACCTAATAGGAAGGAGCCAAAGAGTGACGGTAAGGGGCGAGAAGTCGGACTGGCGAACAGTAACGAGTGGAGTACCTCAAGGATCGGCTCTGGGACCAATTCTATTTCTAATATATGTTAACGACATGTTTACAGGAGTGGAGTCCTACATGTCAATGTTCGAGGATGATGCAAAGTTCATGAGAAGAGTTGTGACAGAAGAGGATTGTAGGATCCTCCAAGAGGACTTGAACAGGTTGCAGAGATGGTCAGAGAAATGGCTACTGAAGTTCAACACGAACAAATGTAAAGTTATGGAAATGGGACTAGGTGATAGGAGACCAAAGGGACAGTACACAATGAAGGGGAACTGCCTACCTGTGACGACGCGAGAAAGAGACCTGGGCGTGGACGTAACACCTAATCTATCTCCTGAGGCACATATAAATAGGATAACGACAGCAGCGTACTCTACACTGGCAAAAGTTAAAACATGCCTACTTGAGGCCAGTCTTAGTATGCTGCCTCATCATGGAGTCCCCATCTGAAGAAGCACATAAGAAAACTGGAAAAGGTTCAGAAGTCTGCAACGAGACTCGTCCCAGAGTTACGAGGGATGGGGTATGAAGAGCGCCTGAAGGAACTGTGCCTTACGACACTAGAAAGAAGAAGGGAGAGGGGGGGGGGATATGAAAGGAACGTATAAAATACTCAGGGGGATTGACAGAGTGGACATAGACGAAATGTTCACACGGAATAGTAACAGAACGAGGGGACATGGGTGGAAGCTGGAAACTCAGATGAGTCACAGAGATGTTAGGAAGTTTTCTTTTAGCGTGAGAGTATCTTGAGGTTATCTTGAGATGATTTCGGGGCTTTTAGTGTCCCCGCGGCCCGGTCCTCGACCAGGCCTCCACCCCCAGGAAGCAGCCCGTGACAGCTGACTAACTCCCAGGTACCTATTTACTGCTAGGTAACAGGGGCATTCAGGGTGAAAGAAACTTTGCCCATTTGTTTCTGCCTCGTGCGGGAATCGAACCCGCGCCACAGAATTACGAGTCCTGCGCGCTATCCACCAGGCTACGAGGCCTACGAGTAGTGGAAAAATGGAATGCACTTAAGAAACAGGTTGTGGAAGCAAATTTTATTCATAATTTTAAAACTAGGTATGATAGGGAAATAGGACCGGAGTCATTGCTATAAACAACCGATGGCTCGAAAGGCGGGATCCAAGAGTCAATGCTCGATCCTGCAGACACAACTAGGTGAGTACAAATAGGTGAATACACACACACACACACACACACACACACACACACACACACACACACACACACACACACACACACACACACACATGTTAATACATTATAGAGAGTATAACGCTATGAGTAGCTCAGTGAAACTTCCGGAGTGAGGAGCCCAAATTCCATTATAAGTATCATTATATATACTTGCCACTCTTTACATCACAAGCGAAACTTCATAAACAAACGTCTAATTACTTCTACTGTCGACTGTGTTTGGTGTCCGGACCGTGTGAAGCCAAATACCGCCAGGGACTCGAGGTAGTGAAACGCGGAGTGTGATCAACGTAGACTTTCGCGCCCTGCCAATAGTGTAATGTTGAGGAGGGCAGTGTGAGCATCGCCATGCGTCGTGGCCAGTCTTACGGTGTCATTCTAAGGTCACTGTGTCAGCACCCTTGTTAAGGTGTCAATATTACACAGTAACACCGGTGTTACTGTGTCATTACCGGTGTTACTGTGTTACTACCGGTCTTACTGTGTTACTACCGGTCTTACTGTGTTACTACCGGTGTTACTGTGTCATTACCGGTGTTACTGTGTCATCACCGGTGTTACCGTGTCACCACCGGTGTTACTGTGTCATTACCGGTGTTACTGTGGCATTACCGGTGTTATCTGTGGCATTACCGGTGTTACTGTGTTACCACCGGTGTTACTGTGTCTCCAGTGTTACTGTGTCTCCAGTGTTATTGTGCCTCCAGTGTTACTGTGCCTCCAGTGTTACTGTGCCTCCAGTGTTATTGTGCCTCCAGTGTTACTGTGCCTCCAGTGTTACTGTGCCTCCAGTGTTACTGTCTCCAGTGTTACTGTGTCTCCAGTGTTACTGTGCCTCCAGTGTTACTGTGCCTCCAGTGTTATTGTGCCTCCAGTGTTACTGTGCCTCCAGTGTTACTGTGTCTCCAGTGTTACTGTGTCTCCAGTGTTACTGTGCCTCCAGTGTTACTGTGCCTCCAGTGTTACTGTGCCTCCAGTGTTATTGTGCCTCCAGTGTTACTGTGTCTCCAGTGTAACTGTGTCTCCAGTGTTACTGTGTCTCCAGTGTTACTGTGCCTCCAGTGTTACTGTGTCTCCAGTGTTACTGTGCCTCCAGTGTTACTGAGTCTCCAGTGTTACTGTGCCTCCAGTGTTACTGTGCCTCCAGTGTTACTGTGTCTCCAGTGTTACTGTGTCTCCAGTGTTACTGTGCCTCCAGTGTTACTGTGTCTCCAGTGTTACTGTGTCTCCAGTGTTACTGTGTCTCCAGTGTTACTGTGTCTCCAGTGTTACTGTGCGTCCAGTGTTACTGTGCGTCCAGTGTTATGGTGCCTCCAGTGTTACTGTCTCCAGTGTTACTGTGCCTCCAGTGTTACTGTGTCTCCAGTGTTACTGTGTCTCCAGTGTTACTGTGCGTCCAGTGTTACTGTGCGTCCAGTGTTACTGTGCGTCCAGTGTTATGGTGCCTCCAGTGTTACTGTGCGTCCAGTGTTACTGTGCGTCCAGTGTTATGGTGCCTCCAGTGTTACTGTGCGTCCAGTGTTACTTTGCGTCCAGTGTTATGGTGCCTCCAGTGTTACTGTGCGTCCAGTGTTATGGTGCCTCCAGTGTTACTGTGCGTCCAGTGTTATGGTGCCTCCAGTGTTACTGTGTTGTCATTATTGTTTGTCACTGAGGCCGGCAGGGAGACTTGGGGAGGGTGGCCGGGAGATTTGGGGAGGGTGGCCGGGAGACTTGAGGAGGTTGGCAGGGAGACTCGGGGAGGGTGGCAGGGAGACTCAGGGAGGGTGGGAGGGAGATTCGAGGAGGGTGGCAGGGAGACTCAGGGAGGGTGGCAGGGAGACTTGAGGAGGTTGGCAGGGAGACTCGGGGAGGGTGGCAGGGAGACTCGGGGAGGGTGGCAGGGAGACTCGGGGAGGGTGGCAGGGAGACTCGGGGAGGGTGGCAGGGAGACTCGGGGGGAGGGTGGCAGGGAGACTCGGGGAAGGTGGCAGGGAGACTTAAGGGTGGCAGGGAGACTCGGGGGAGGGTGGCAGGGAGACTCGGGGAGGGTGGCAGGGAGACTCGGGGGAGGGTGGCAGGGAGACTCGGGGGAGGGTGGCAGGGAGACTCGGGGAGGGTGGCAGGGAGACTCTGGCAGGGAGACTCGGGGAGGGTGGCAGGGAGACTCTGGCAGGGAGACTCGGGGAGGGTGGCAGGGAGACTCGGGGGAGGGTGGCAGGGAGACTCGGGGGAGGGTGGCAGGGAGACTCGGGGAGGGTGGCAGGGAGACTCGGGGAGGGTGGCAGGGAGACTCAGGGAGACTCGGGGAGGGTGGCAGGGAGACTCGGGGAAGGTGGCAGGGAGACTCGGGGAGGGTGGCAGGGAGACTCGGGGGAGGGTGGCAGGGAGACTCGGGGAGGGTGGCAGGGAGACTTGGGGGAGGGTGGCAGGGAGACTCGGGGAGGGTGGAGGAGAAGGACTAAAGGGCTGTAGTGTGCAGTGATAAAAACTGAAAATTAACAATTATATTGCTGATATATATATTGCTTAGTTTCTCAAAGGTTTCCCTTTGAGAAACTAAGATTCTCTGATGTGTCTTGGATATGATTGTATACGAGCTGTCTTCCTATGTGGATCCTTCAAAGGGAAGGCCTCACCTTGGGTCAGAATAGTGTTTAACTTTGCTGATAGAAGGGCATGGCAGGGTACCTGGTTGATACCTGGGTGATGGGGTTCTGGGAGTTCTTCTACTCCCCAAGCCCGGCCGAGGCCAGGCTTGACTTGTGAGAGTTTGGTCCACCAGGCTGTTGCTTGGAGCGGCCCGCAGGCCCACATACCCACCACAGCCCGGTTGGTCCGGCACTCCTTGAAGGAAACAATCTAGTAGAGAGGGTAGGACATGGCAGTAGTAGAGAGAATCTTTGATGGGGTCAATGGATGAAAGATACCTGGGTGATGGGGTTCTGGGAGTTCTTCTACTCCCCAAGCCCGGCCGAGGCCAGGCTTGACTTGTGAGAGTTTGGTCCACCAGGCTGTTGCTTGGAGCGGCCCGCAGGCCCACATACCCACCACAGCCCGGTTGGTCCGGCACTCCTTGAAGGAAACAATCTAGTAGAGAGGGTAGGACATGGCAGTAGTAGAGAGAATCTTTGATGGGGTCAATGGATGAAAGATTTTGGTAATTAGCTGGTTACAGTATTACCATTAAGCTGCAACTAATGTGTTACTGTACCTTCATTTACCTTACTGTATAACGCTGTCCACTGCCGGGGTGTGTCGAAACTAGATATTATATTTTGCTTCTTGACAAATTATTGATGGAGTTGCTACTATTGAAAACCCATGAATATACTTTATGTTTATAAAAATTCTGAAAAATAATCAGGCATAATTTAAATCCATTAATACCTTTAGATGTAAGGAAAATTCAGTATTCTGCATCAGTAGTGCAGTATTTGTTTTTTTAAGTGTTAGTTTGATTATACTAATGTAAAAGAAGTATCTTTTGATGTTATGACTAATGACAGTTGTTTCCTTTCAAGCTTGTATTACTTTTCTCATCAGGTTAGATATGGAAATATATGGTAAAGATGTGAGTGTACATCATTACTGAGTGTTTTCTATTGATTTGTTGTGAAGCATTTATTAGATTTATGAAAATGATCAGTGTATGAATGCAATTTCTAATACATTCACAACTCCCTCATTTCTTCAACAACTTACACAATGATTTGAAGAAGCTTGATTCAAATCTTTGTAGCATAGTTCTTATTATCACAAAGCTAATATTGTGTTTGTGTCCATTGCAGCAGTTCAACAATTACTACATATCAGGGCACAAAAACCTACTGGACTTGTGGCGTGAAATTGGCTCTGTGAAGCGCACCTTCTCCGAGGTGAAAAACCTGACCTCTCGTGACCTGACCCAGCTGCGTGGTGATCTTGACCGCTGTGCCCACCTCCTCTCCTCTGCCTGCCATTCGGCTCAATCCAACATGAGTTTCTTACCATCAGGAGGAGATAAGGTACAAATATATTTATTCAGAATCTAACTAGCAGTGTTCAGTTCATTCAGTTGTGAATGACATTCACTGAACAAATTATAAGAGGTCTTTATAGAATACATAACAAAATTAAGAGATAATTATAATATCATTTGCAGTAAAAACCTAAAGTAATAAATAGTTATTATTATTTACTACTGACTAATTTTACTGAAATATTTATTTGATTCTAATCACATTAGTCGCAGACCTGTTTTATTTACGGTTTGCCTCCATAACTAAATTCTTTGCATTTTTGTTTGTTAGGGTCATTTCATGATGGTACTGTATCTTTCAGAGAGAGAGAGAGAGAGAGAGAGAGAGAGAGAGAGAGAGAGAGGGGGGGAGGGAGGTAGGTAGGTAGGTTTTAATTCCTAAAGAATTCATTTTCCCCTTGTTTATTGCTTGGATACAAATGGAGTGGGAGATGGCTGTAACTCCATGAGCAAGTCTTGGTCCAAAAATGTCATGTGTAGAATAAAACTCTTCATATTAAACTATAAAGAAGATTAGATTCAATGAGTGAATAGCTTTTTTTCCTGTAACGACTAATAACTATTAAATATGGTTACATACCTATTTAATGGGGGGGGCTTTAGAATGCTTATCATTGTTATTTTAAATTGTACTGCCCATTTTCCAACCCATCTTCCTAATGAGATGGTATTTTTTGTAACTGTGTGGATGATTGTACAAGTACTGTATCAACATGATGAACAGTAGATGAAAGTCAAATTTGGTACATTGCTATTCATTTTATAGTCTGGAAAAATAAAGCTAAAATCAAAACTTAAATATTCCCAGGCTTAGTATAGCACAAATATGTACTACATTGGGCCTCGGATACCATGTATTAAGCCTAGGATGGTTAGGCTAGGTTTCATTAGTAACAAATTGACAAACTTTTCTGGTTTGTCCATATTCAATAATACAAAAGTCTACTTTCTTATGGTCCATCATGTCTACACAGTATTGGTAAGATTGACCACATTAGTACTTTCATTTCAGGAGGATGGGCTGCAATTTTCTTGTGTGTATACACATAAGCTTGCTATGCATGTATGAAATGTGGCAGAAATATTGTATTCTTCTCGATGCAGGAGGATTATGTTGTGGCCAACCCTGCGGACTTGTGGGGCCGCATCCAGGAGTGCGAGAGATCACAAGTACGAGCAGAGACGGAGAAGAACTCCCTCAAAGAGAAGATCAATGAACTTAATTCAAGGATATCGGAGCTCAACACGAATCTGAGAAGTAAAGAACGCACTATTCAAGATCTCAACAAGAAGCTGGTTAGTAGAAGAGTAATAGATGCATGGTATCCATTGACAATGATTTCCCTGCCAGTATAGTTCCCTAAGCTGTTTGAAATTTGTATTTAGTTGATGTTGGATGAGCACTCATAGGTTATTTTCTTCTATATTGTATGAATCTTAAAGTGTCATTTAGGTTTTCAATTATAATAACTTATTCATTTGTAACACTTCCTAGCCCCATTTTTAATATGACTACATGATATCATTTTTCTATTTAGTTTTCCATAGTATACCAACTGACTGTAATCAGTGCACTACTTTTGTTTGTTTCTAAAAGGATGAAGGTATGACGGAAGCAGAGGTTCAGGAGACACTAAAGGAGAAGGTGCGCACGCTGGAATCATACATGGTCGAAATAGCTCAGACAGTCATCAAGGATTCAGAGCAGAGCACTGGTGATGCAGACGGTAAAACTCCTTCTGCTTTCAGGTATGGAACTTCATTCTGTGCACAGAATAATTTTGAGTTATAATATTCTTTAACAAATTGCTGGTGTGTGTGTGAGAAATATTGAGTAGCATTGATGTTGGTCACTCTGACGGTGATCTCTCTCTCAGTACTTTCATCACATTTTATTATAAGTAACAGGCAATAAGAAATTGTTTCTTAACTACATTACATCATCAGATGATCAAGAGAAATAACATTTATGGTAAAGGTGTATTGTAAGTCAATAAACTAGTTATTCTGGAAGTTAGCATATTTTGCTGAAAATTGAAAATTTCTAAATAGAATACAGTGGCACCTCGACTTACGACTGCCCCTACTTATGATAATTTTGAGTTACGATGTAAATTTCATTGAAAAATGCGACTCGACATCCGATGGTGTTGCCGACTTACGATATTTGTTGGTACACGTTGGTCGACCGAGCGCGTGGTTCCTGGTCACGCGGCCAACCTGCCTCAGTTTACTACAGCTGCCCGCTTAGTGACAATCGCGCCTATAAGAAATTTCGCTTTTGTGGTGATTTTTTGCATTTTGAACATTAAAGTAGTTATTATATATCACGCCATGAGTCCCAGGAAAGTCAGTGGTAAGGCTCAACATATGAAAACCCATGTTAGGATGACCATAGAGCAGAAACAACAGATCATTCGTAAATATGAAGATCGTGTGTGGGTTGTTGGACTGGCTAGGCAGTACAACAAATCTCAGTCAACGATATCTACCATACTGGCTAAGAAAAAGGACATTATGGGTGCTAAAGTGATATATCATTACAGACAAATGTTAAAAAAAGAGAAAAATATATATCTCTTGACAAATTTGTAGTGAGACAAACAAGCACTGAACCACAACCAGGTCCTAGTGGTATTCAGGCAAAACGTAGGAGAGAGAGTACCCCAGAGAAAACATCACTACCTGATGTGATAATGGAAGGGGACTCCCCTTCCAAACAGTAACAACTCTCCTCCTCCTCCTCCCCCCCATCACCATCTTCCATATGCCATCAAGAGCCCTCCATAAAGGTAAGATAAATTTAGGTACTGTATTGTAGTTAGAAAAAACATTATATTTAGTATAAAATGTATTTGTATGTTAATATTTTGGAGGGTGGGGAACGGATTAATTCAAATCCCTTTATTTCGTATGGGAAAAATCGCTTCGACTTAAGATATTTCGACTTACGATCCGTCTCTGGGAACGGATTAGCATCGTAAGTCGAGGCCCCATTGTACAGTATATGAGATTTTGAACTTTTCAAAAATTGCCTCTTATGGTATATTCTGTACTTATGGTATATTATTCGAAGATTGAGAATTAGATTATATTATATTGAAGAAATATTTCAACAAAGTATGAGAATAAATAAAATTGGTTAAATAGTGGATGATAAAATTTGCAAATGGAAAATATTTTAGCACAAATAAATTATAATTTGTGTGTTCAGTGATGATTATAACACTGGCTGAACAATTACTACTTGTCAAAATAAGATCCCCACATTGTTTCCTCTGAAATACAGTTCACACACTCATTTAAGGGGCCGAGGCAGCTAGTAACAGAGTCACTAAATACCTCTCTTCCCCCCCGAAAAAAATGGCTTTTCATTACATACAGTGCTAATGTTTCATAAATGCAATATATAAATATTAATAAGAATTCTCTAGGCTGCTAAAACAAATTAAAAAGTAAACAATTGTACTATAACCCAGCAGGATTGTACGAGACACGGAGCAGGGGGTAGCACCAGACTTGCCACAAAGCACAGTTTCTGCTGTCCGCACAGCACTTTCTAATCGCCATGTTCAGATCCACGAATTGCAGGTTTGTACTGTATGTTGTTACAAATCTCGGAATTTGTTTACTCTTTGAATTAGTTATAATGAATCATTGTCTTTCATGATAATTTATTGTTGACAATGTTCATGATGATTTATATATATAAATATTTATTAAAATTTCTAACTACAATACAGTTGTGTAATGTATTTTTAATAAATTCAATACACGGCTAAAATTTATCTGTTTTGACGTCCAGCTCAAACTAACATCATCAAAGGATCAACTGGCATCACTTCGTAAGCAGTATGAAAGTGCAGAGGCAGCCCAGCGTGTGCTCGAGTCCACAATTGGAGAACTCCGTGATGAAATGGAGTCCATTTCCCGGCAAAAGGATGAAGTTTCGAGGGAGAAGGACAGGCTCACTGAAGATTTGGATGCAATTGTTGCAGAAAAGAGTAGTTTGGAGAAAGCTAAACAAACTCTTAAATCTCAGGTGTGCACAGTTTGTATGGAATTTTATAATTCGACTTTGATTTGTTAAATTGGAACACTTGAATAATAATTGAAATCTCAAGAAATGGATAAAAATACTAATTTAAAACTTACTAGTTGGAGACTGCCAAGGAAGAGACAGAACGCCGTAACCGTCAGTTATCAGAGCTGGAGAAAGAGAAGGTTGCACTTGGTGAAGAGCGAGCCTACCTCAACTCTAAGCTCACCAAAGAAAAGGAGGAAGTCCAAAAGAATGTCCACACCATAACTATTCTCAACTCTGAACTTTCTAGCGTGCAGCAGCAGGTACTGTTTTAGTTTACATCGTTCAATTGAAACAGACAAATTTAGTTGAAATAAATATTTGTTTAGTATTCATATTTTCAGGTACAGTAATAAAGTATTGCATGTCTACTTACAACTCGACAGGAAATATGAAGATAGTCTATATTTTCAGGGATGTATTCAGATATTTATATATCATTAATGCATTTAGCTGAATTTGCTTTAATAACAGTCAAACAGTAAATATCAAGTTAAATTGATAATGTTATGAGTATAATACGAGGAATGATTACTGCTCGTTAAGTAATAATTAATCAATGTAATTTTAATTGGAAATAGTAATATTTGCCAGTAAAAAGCAAAAGATATCATCTATCATTTTCACAATGATTTGTATGATTAAATAAGAACGACGTGCTGCAGATCCACTTCCCCGTAGACTCCTAATGCACAGAAACTTTTATTTATCAGCATCACTCGTCTTATTTGCCATACAATCATTCAAAAGTCAATTAATGATTAGTTAATGATTTAGAAGGAACAGTATTCACTCATTATTAAACCGTTTAGTATGGACACAGTAAGCTCACTTTAGTATTTACCATATTTGAACTATATGCTGTATCTTCACTCTTTCTAGGTAGTAGTTCTGCTGGCCTTAGTAGTCCATGGAAACACTTAACCATGGGGAAATGTGCTCATTCTGTTCTTTATGGTTATTCACTTTGGCCTTACTCACACTAGAGTGCATTTTGAGATCCTATAACTTACACACCAACAAACACCCTTTTTTATTTCTTTGCTCTGTACTCTTGCCATATTATATTTCCAGTTTTTATTGACACTTTTATGTATTTATCGAAGCACCCCCTCATTATTATCATGCATTTATATTTCTTAATGCTATGAGGTAAATAGTTTGCAAATATAAAGTCAGATTTGTTTACTATCTGTAGTGAATATATTAAGTCACTGGATAATTTTCAGCAGCTGAAGATGTGATGTTCAGTAAGCAAAATTGAAACAAAAATGTACACCATCCCACTGTACATGAAAGACAATTTTGGGCATAATTTTTTTTTTCACTTTAGAGGGGGCTTCCACAGTGTGCTGAGTTTTCTGTCTCCCTCAGTTGCTTTGTCTTTTTGAGAGGGCAGGGCTCTGGTACCTCCTGGTGGTGCAGTAGGTCAAGATAGTCACGGACGCTTGCTGTTGGTTTTGACCCTTAGATACAAGTGCATAAATATTGGGTACAGAAAATTAAGTAAACATACAGTATATTAAGGGGCCAGGAAACGAAAACGGTCAAAATTTTTAAATTTTGCTCAAACGCTTTCAATTTTTTTTTGTACGTAATCCACTAGGCACATGCTCCAACTTTGTCAAAATAATTACCAACGTAACTTGAAAAACAAGAAAATTGAAAATAATTATAAAATTGAATATTGAAAATTTCAGATTTTCAAGTGAGCATCAAAAATATAAAATATCACAAATGGATTGTTTGGTGTTGTTATACTCAGAGAAGAGCATATGATCTTCATTTGTATTTGTTAATATTATAGAATTCAGTATAGTACTGTAAACAAAATTGTTAATACAGTATGACATTTGAAATATGCGCAAATTTTGACTAAAAAATTCATAACTCCCAACATTTAGGGTTTATGAAAAAAAACAATAAAATAGGATCATAAAACTGACAACTGTGCCCACTATATGTAAAAATTGTGAGAATTGGTCTGAAACTGGATTTTTGATGCTCACTCCAAGTTGAAAATTTGTATTATCGAGATAATTGAAGTTCAAGTTATCGACAATAATTATGGTAGTTCTAATTCATTAATTTACTTGTATGTTTTTATAAACATTAATTGGCATTTGTACTCGAATATGTGAAAGTTGTAGGTCAATATGTGTTGAAATGAAGTCAAGAAAAAATAACCCCCCCAAAAAACAAATATAAGGATAAGGATAATAAGGATAATTATTATCCTTATTATTATTATAAGGATAATTGTAATGATTTAAATGATACATGTTTCCCAGTCCCTTAATAGATTTTGTCATTATATTATTTTAATTTCACGTGAGATTTAACCCTTGTGTTGCTCAGGGCTAATTAGCATTTGTCACCTATAGGCGCATGCCAAAAAAAAATTCTTCTAAACCTGTTAATTTGTGTTCTCTGATCATGAGAAAAATAATAAAACAATCATAAGTGGCATATATTGCCCGCTATAGGGCGGGGAAGTCAGGCAAAAAACAGGCGCTGACTCAGCGTGCGTCCCTGACGGTCTGTTGCTCCCAGCTGTCGAGCAGGAGTGGCTACAAAGAGATAATTACATAATTATTTCAATGTCCCTGATTGATTTTTCGTAGTTTTTTCTGTAATATTATTCAATAGTGTGTAGTGTGATATATTTATATAATAAAATGAGTGAATCATCGCTGTACTCAAAAATATGGTGTGCATATTGTTGATTCAATTATTATGTTCATCAAACAGTGAACAAATACTTTGTCGGTTATCACACTATATACACAGGTTATATATAAGTATCTGCATGTTTTGTTCACCATAACGAACCACTAAGTTGGTATTATGAGTCAAAAAGCAACGAGGAGTGACCACCACACACCAGTTGCCATTCGCTGCCACTCACTCCCTCAACACCTCACTCGCTTACATTCTCTTCCCACCATACTTTTTTGCTTTTATTCACTATATACAGACGTTATATATAAGTATCTACATTCTTGTTCACCATAACGAACCACTAAGTTGGCAGTGGCAGTGGCAGCCCGCCACTGGCTGCTACTTCCTCCCTCCCTCAACTTACCTGACTCACCCACATGCTCCTCCCACAATACTTTTTTCCTTTTATTCACTATATACAGACGTTATATATAAGTATCTACATGTTTTGTTCACCACAACTGTACAACTAAGTTGATATAACTATTTAGTTCATGCACTAAGAGACGTCGCTGCACACAGTCAGCTGGCGGCTGCTTCCCTCACACATTCAAGGTCAGACGCACTAAAATTTCACCCCCTCCCAACAGTACTGTTTGTGGTGTTATTACCCTATATACAGATGTTATATAAGTATCCACATGTTTTGTTCAGTATAACTGTTCAACTAAGCCGGTATAATGCCCAAAGAGCATAGTGGGCACCCCCCTACCAACATGACAAATCATGCAGATGTTGCCACACCCATCACCAAAATGGCTTCTCCCCCACACTCCTTTTTACTATTATTACGCTGTATATACACGTTATATATAAGTATTTATATTCAAAGTCATTTGTGATACTGCTATGTAAACCAATATGAGCAGAGGTATTTTACAAGCCCTGATGTAGAGATTTATATCTTTGATGTAAGAGACGGAATATAAATAAATACCGAGTATAAAATTTATAAATACTGTACCAAGTATAAAAATTTGAAAAGTTGTTTTTGAGCAATATGCCATTGCTCACAGAGTTCAGTGCTAAAATTGTACAGGGAATGTTATGGACTCGTTTATTGGATCCATTATATAGTTGCCACCTTCAACGCCTTCTAGAGGCTACCTACTGCACAGTTAGGAAACTACCGCAAAATGTTTCTCAATATGACACACATTTTTAGAGCCCACAACTTAGCCTACTTTATCTACCTCTCACTCAATGATTGCTTCACCTCGCCATCCTTAATGCCAATTCTCTTGGGTAATGTCACTTCATCACACATCTTTGACTATTCCTTCTAAACTTGGACAAAGGAAAGCCATAAGGTAAAGCATTTCTATAATCACTCGTTTTGCCTAGAAAGTCAGTGAGAATGGAAGTGATTGATGAGATAACATTTGAAATTTCTGGCAAGAATTCTAGATGTGGGGAACTAAGGGCTGTATGCAGCAGGCACTCTGATATCAAGTGATGCACTCAGGACTAAATGGAGAAGTCTTTTGAGATAATGGTCCAAAGAGAACTTTCATAAACCATCCTGTTACAACAATAAGTACAACAAAAGTCCAAATTTTCTTTAATACTGAAAGTCTTTAATAACATGTATAGTTATATAAATAAAATAAAATATTAAATAAAAGTTCACAGGTACGTAAAGAAAAGTTTGAATAAAATATTTTCTGAGTATTGTATACAGTATTCGTAAAATGAACCGAGCGTCCACCATGCATACAGAACTAGGTCTCAAGCTAAATAGCTTTCATTTGTTTTTGTGCACATTTAGTGGTGTTGATTAACAAGCATTAAATGGATATCCATAGACACTTTATTTTTGCATAGAAAGTACTAGTGCTTGGAATGTTGTTTCACCTCTAAACTTATTTCAACTCTCAAGTCATTGAATTTGTTTATATGAGTACCAATAGTAGCCGGATGTCCGTTTAAATGTTTCAGTACCATCGCACGTATTAACTCATATATTATTCATGACACCTGCTAATGAAATGTTTATTGGTGCTTTTGTGCAGATATTTCCTGCTTAGTTATTTCATAAGGAATATATATCTGTTACCATATGTTTATGATTTTAGTTTGCTTTCCTGAAATTCAGCATTTTAATGCTATTCTGTCAGTACAATACAGTCAACTATGTGGTTTCCAAACCCTTTCGGGACTGAGACTGAACAGATAACCTGTTGTGTTCGGATAAGTGGTTCATCATCCTAAAAAGCTAGGGGAAAAAAATTTACTATATTTTTGCAAAAATTCAAGTGTTTTGTTTGTTCTCGCCAATATGAGAAATTCTGATCTGCTTGTTAACTTTAAGATTATAATTGATGGAGCATTGTTGTTTAGATAGAAAAGGTGGTGGTGGATGATGATAGTATTGGGTTGACTGAAGTGGAGATTAATGGTGATAAGGTAACCTCAGCAGACTGCCTTTCACCATGTACTCTAATGTACCTAATGCCATGGCAGAGTTGAAAGCTTCTGAGCCATCCATAAGTGTATGAACACTGCTCAAGTGGTGCTGTGTATGGTCACTGGGCAAACTAGTTCTATCTTTATTGCACATTTTTATTCAGACTGCCCGCCCCTCCAGTTATCCCAAACGTTTTTATCTGAACAAACCCAAACTGGATAACAGGCCTTTTCAGAAAGAAGGTATTCTAAAGCATGTTGCTGTACATTGGAGTTCAAGGTGCTATCTTGACAGTGTGTGATGGTGTCTTTGGAGTGCAAATGTGTCATCAACTTGGGACACAAGGTGGAGGAATGGCTGCAACACCTTAGACATGAATGGTTTCTACTTGACCTTTCTCCTTAACTATTCAAAGACCTCCCTGTATGCTGTCATGTGCTCCTCATTCTTTTTATTAAATCATGTGCTTCTGTAACTCTCATCTTAGTCAATTTATACAAGAGCACTTATTATGAGAAGGGCGCCTGACAGCTGGGTGGACAGCATTTCTGATTCGTAGTCCTGATGTTCTGGGTTTGATCTCTGCTGGAGGCAGAGACAAATGGGCAAAATGTTTCTTTCACCTTGATGCCCCTGTTACCGAGCAGTAAATAGGCACCTGGGAGTTCGACAGCTGCTACGGGCTGCTTCCTGGGGGGTAGGTGTAACAAAAAGGAGGCCTTGTCAAGGAACGGGTCGCGGGGAAGCTAAGCCCCGAAAGATTTCTTGGGGTTATCTCAAGATAACCCCAAGAAAATGAAGACACGCTTGGATTTGAAGTGTTGCTCCTTGTCTCTGGGACTGAGGGTTCCCAGAGAATAAGTACTCACCTAGTTGTGCTTACAAGGGTTGAGCTTTAGCTCTTTTAGTCAGTACTGACACTTCAGGGCTTGTAGTCTCACCAGGCCTCTGTGTCCTTCACTTTGGATAACAGATAACTACATACACTCTTAACACAAAAATAAATATAAACAAACCACTTAAGCCCTCAGAGATTCGAGAATACAGTGGAACCTCGGTTAACTAATTTTGTCTGTTCCGGCACCGAGCTCGTCATGTGAAAGGCTCGTCTTGAGAAACGAATTTCCCCATTTAAAATAATGGAAATAAAATTAATCCGTTCCACCACCGAAAAACATCAATGTGATATTCTATTTTTTTTTTCATAAAAAATATAGAGTAGCCTACCTGACATAAACTAAACAAATCTTTTTGACAAGTGTTCTTTTTTCAATTTTTTTCAATTTTTTTATTTTTTCTAAAAAAAATTAATGCTTTGCAACATTACAGCAATCACCCCTTTACATCCTAGCATCATTAGCATCTTTAAAAAAAAAATCATTGATTTGCATCATCAGAAGCGTCCGAGAATTTGCGAGAACCAGCGAAAGCGCTAGGAAGCACCACATGGTTTTCTCATTAACGAATGGAAGCTCGTCACTTGAGACAAATGTTCTGCGAGTTGCTTGCTCATTACTTGAAATGCTCGTAGATGGAGCCGCTCGTCACCCGAGGTTCCTCTGTAATTTTAAAAGTAGACAAAATTTTTAAACAATCAACTATTTCAAATGCTGTACAATGATTCATAAATTGAAAGGCTCTGGAAATTTGATTCCGTTTCAACAATATTGTCTTTTGTTACGTTTCCTGTGTGAAGCAAATTTTTTGTTTTTAGACTGGTGCTGTTTTGTATAATATTGTTAATGTTTTGTCTAACTATTTTAATTATGAATATTAAAATATGCTTTAAACATGCTATATACATGCTTTAAGGGTGGCATGTATATAGACATAAACAAATATTCTTATGCCATGATGATATTAGTCCAGTCGAGGGCAGATGTAACTTTAGGAACATTTCTGTGCTTCCTGCTGGGGAAGGATGCATTCATATTTTATATATGTATATATATATATATACATATATATATACATATTTATTAGCATGCCAAAACAAGCTGTCCTTTTTGTCAGATTATGTATAGATTTTGTTAGTAATGCTTGCATCTTGTGTTTTGTGTGAGGCTGGGAGAGTTTGTTTTAAGCAAGCTGTTGTTTATAAATGTTAAGTATAAGACAGTGTAGTAGAGATTGTTCTCCAGAACTCAGAGATAAAATATATTTGGTTGCTCCTGTAAGAAGTATATATGTCATTCTAGTAAATTTTAAAATAAGAAGACACATTAATACTTAATGGGTTATACCTACTATTTGAACAAGTTTTAAGAACTTCATTGACCATTGTTGATGACAAATTTAAATTAAAGTTATCATTTTGTATTAAATTTTTGTTGCCTAATTTTGTATCTTCCCTCAGGTTACTATTTTGTCTGAATCGCTGGGAAAGGTACGGGCAGCAGAAGAAAGGTTGGATCAGGAAAAGGATGACCTCCGGGATCAAATTCGAGCAATGGAACGGCAGCGCAATGAATTGGAGGCAAAATTGGCTCACTCCCTACGTCAGGAGACTGACCTGAGGGAGGCCCTTGAGAAGGTAATATAATTTAGTGGTTTCTTGCTGGATTTTGTAAGTGATAAATTCTGTAGAACCATGCATACAACATGAAAATTTATATTATATGGTAAAATGGCTATTAATCTATTTCATTAATGGTTGCCTTTTCAATTGCTTAGATTTACGAAGAGATAAGTATATAAGCCTTTAATATTAAACTCGCTAATTGTTTGTTTAATAAACATTTTATTTATATTTTTTATATTGGAATGCAGAGTTTAAAATTGATTTAATTTGCAAAATTGAGTTAAGTTTTATGCATGGTCTCAGAAGTGTACAAGCCGAGTGAAACTGTGTGCACGTACTGTGCATGTGTATGGATAACCTTTGTCATGCACTTGCACATCCCCCGTTTAATTCTTCAACTGTTACTTTGATCAGTTTTTACATAAATAAATTAAAGAAATTATAAATATTTTTCAATAAATACTTTTGCAAAATTCTGATCTTCACAATGTCATTGTACTCTGCATGTGTCACACTGTTGCCCAGAATTCAAATATGTAATATAAATTGAGTGTGTGTGATTATTTTGTTGCCCACTTTGCTCTTTTGTCTATAAAGCTGTTTTAGCTTTAATCTTAATTTCTTCAATGCATTTTCATTGCTTTCTAATTACTTTTTTTTATCATATCTGATGCACATTTGTGTCCTTTATAATATGTACACAGTAGAACATTCATAATGTTCCAAGGAACTGTGATACATGTGTCGCTAATGTGTCTACAAATAATGTTTGTACAATATTAATTGTTCAATATTCAATTTATTTATACTATGTACACTTGCACTCACTATTTACAGTCATACACTGTAAATTAAACACTCAGTACTTCGGAAGGGAGTGATAATCAAAGAAGCAGTCTATGGGTACACAGCGCGACTTTGCACTCGATACATTAGGTGCACTCAGATTTTCGCTTCATGTTTCTTCATTCTGTGTGCTTGCAAACAACTCCCTCACATACATCGTTGGCTTTAGTTTCTGTAGGTGGTATTTAGCCAAGCTTGTGAAGTGTAAGGTAGTCTTGAAAAGATCTAGGAAAAGATCAGTGTGTAAAGTAGTCTTGAAAAGATCTAGGAAAAGATGAACGACAAAATTCTGTCCTGATATCTCATATCTGTCCCGATATCACTTATATCTTCACCTGTATATGGAAAAGTGGGTGCAACACCAACATCAGAATCATCAAATTGTGGTTTGTGTGGTACAAAATTATCACAGTCCTCCCTCGCAAATTCACCCGTGCTCCTTGTACTGGCACCATCACCACTGACAAAAACACCACCATGAAAGCTGTTAACACTTTGTTCATCTATGCTACTTGTATCAGAAGCATCATCACTGAACCCAGAAAATGTTTCATCTATAGTATCACTTTATTAAGACATTAGGGATGACACAGGTGGTGATGATGATGGTGAGTGCGATGGCCTGGGAGGCCGCAGCACGCCTGGCGCTCAGCCTTTACTGGATACGCTCCCTGTATTGTCCTCATTTATGCTGTACCACTTGTATCGGACACTTGTGTTAGGTCTTTATCATTCCTTGATTCATCAATATCACTACCTTTTTCTTCTTCAAACAATAATGTCTGAATTTCCCCCTTCAGACAGTGATCTTTCAACACCACGTCCCACAGGGAATTGGGAGCTAGAGGTGGGTGTGTCAGCCATGGCTGCTCGATCAGGACTGAGATTAGCCACGGCTCTGGGGCAGTCTGAGAATTTTTTTCAAAATATCTGCCGCTCACTGGAGGCCTCAGGCATTCATCTCGTACTCAACCTACCGTGCATGTGCTTTGAATTTTAGGATATCTTGAAATCGGATTATTTCGGCTTGCACAACATCTACTTCGAGTAATGTCGGGTAGTGCAGTGGTTAATGTTTATGTATATACATTTTTTTCTTACATTAAACCAACACACTCTTCATGCATCATTAAAACAATGAAATTAACTAACAGTTATTTAATTTTTAATTTATATTTTATAACAACATCTTAACATATATTGTAGAGCTTGTAGGTTTGTTTTGCTGTTTCAGGTTGCTATTATAACATTGAATAGTAATCAGAATTATGAATATTCAGTTACAACAAGAACATTATTACATAGTATCAGTAAGTGATTAGCATTTCAGAAAAGTACTTGAAATGTTAGTTTTCTGAATCAGTTTAAATATGAAGCTGTTGACTGTATTTTATCCCAATAATGAATGTCAGTGTTTTGTTGTAAGAACTAAAGCTATCTTTTCTTCATATAACTTCAGGTTGAGTCATACAGTATTAACTTAGGTCAAGATAAATCACAGCTGGTCTCCAAGATCACATCTCTGGAGACAGAACGTGCAGCCTTGGGGACCGAGAGAGCGGAACTACGAGCAGAGATGGAGAGACTCAAGGACGACTTGGAGGCTCTAGGAGAGGAGCGCATTAGCCAAGAAACAACAATTACAACTCTGAATGAAAAAATTAATCTTCTTAATCTAGATAAGGAAAAGGTATATTTATGTAATCTCTTTTGACTTAGTGAATAATTTTGACTCCCTAAGGTAAGATCCATTGCCTATAGATAGCATTGTGAACAGTCAGCCAGCATGCTATTATAGGGAGTTTTAAAACATTTCTGATGGATCATATATTAGCTAGAGGGTTATTGGAGATTGCCCAGAATGACTGACAAAAAGTACACTCATAAAAACTTAACCTTTCCAAGTCTCCTCCTGGCATCACAAGTGACCATTAACACTTTAATGCGCGCACGCCCCGTGAAAAAAATAGCGCATTGTGCGCGCGGCGTTTTGGGCTCTTGAGCGTAAACACCAAAAAGTGTGTCATTTTTTCACTCTCCTGACACCAATTCTCGAGCTATGTATTTAATTTTGGTATCAATGTGTTGGCAATAAAATTCTCTACAAGATCATATGTATAACATGTCACCAAAGCATTAGCTATCCCACCACGAAATAAATAAAACGTAGATCACTCGCCGTGACGCCCAAACAGCAACAAAATGTTCATACTCTTTTGTTTGTTGTCAGCTCCACATTAGTCCTACAGCGTTATATTTTATATCACTGAACTCGCAATAAAATTCCCTACACAGACATATGCATATAAATGTAGAATCATGATCGCGGCCCACACCAAGAGTGTGTGAAGTGGGCGATTACCCTCGTTGTGTCAACAACTCAATAGTCTCTCCTCTAAGTTACAATACAATGCCGTTTTCTCAAATAGGCCATGTGCCTATTAGAGAAAACGGAAATTTAATGGCAAACATTTTCATACTAACCCCAAGTCAATCGAATAAGAATTGGATTTTATATGTTTTTTTAGATCGGCTGGCTATTTACGGCACGATTGCGGAACCCGTTAGCCAAGCCCGCCGTATATTTACGGTCTGGTTGTGTTAAAGTGTTTCTTAACACTGTTCCCACAAACTTCGTGTTTGCTTTCCTGACAACCTACATCAGCCACCAAGAGGTGGCAGTACCATGATGCACCTAATTAGGGTGGCAAGACCCTCATTTACTCAGTCTCCTAACTTGTAGAAGTCTGGCAGGTGGGGTCTGCCCACAGTTGATGTGTTTTAGTCCCAAAACAATGTTTTCTTGTCCATAGTTAACTAAGTTAAAATATTTACATGAATTTACAATCTCTAGTGGGTTTGAAAGGGACAGGATGTTGATAGCTTGTTAAAAGGTCCCTGCATTACTTCCATGTGCACGTGTTTTAAGCCAGTCTTCTTTCCCCTTGATTGTCGCATCCTGATCTGTGCCATTTGTGACCAGCTGTGAGTCTGCTCCTTGAGCCTTGCCTCTCTTGTTACGGTCCTCTGGTACCTGTTGTTGATGTTGACCAATTTTTATTTTAATGAAATGCAAACAAAATTCTCTTACAGATAGTTCTTCTTGAGAACTGATAAGAGATAATCCCTCTCCCTGGAGAGGGTTCTGATTACTACCTGGAGAGGAAATTGGACAGACATTTCTGCAAGAGTTTCATACATTGACTTTTAACGATTTTAACCACACCAAAAGCCATATTGATCAAGGCATCTTGTTCTCGAATTTCAAATTTTAAGACAGATTTTGTTTTCACATTAATGCTTTTTTTTTTTTTAGTTTCGAAATAAATTGCCAAAAATATAAAGCTGTTAGAAAAATTGCCTCTAAAAATTAATTGGGATTTATAAATTTCAGTACTTGATCAAAGTATGGGCCGTCCTGCTCGAGGCAGTGCATACTTATGGCATGAAAGGAATGACAGTTGTGTGGGTGGAATGTGTGAGACAGAAATTAGTGGCCGGTACATGACATCAGGGGGTTCCCTGGCTTTCCGGAGGCACACAGGTAGTAGGCTAATTTGGCCCCGGACATTCATACTGAGTGGTTATGTTACGCATCCCTCTCTGTCACCTCGCCGTCTTATCGCAGTTAACAGTGTTGGTGGTATTGCATTGTTGTTATGGTACCCACCAAGCAAGCAAAGCAACCTTTGTTCAGATTATTGCTTTAAGAAAAGCAGACCACCAAATTCAAGTAATAAATTGAGTGTAGCCCAGTTGACATGAGGAAGTATTGATCGCGTTTCGGAAGGGGGAAGCAGTGATGACACGCCATCAGAAACATTGGTCTTGTCATCCCAGGAAAATGACTTCAAGGTCAGGATGCTCACAGACCTTGAAGCATTAAATGTTCATTAGAGAGCACCTTTCACATTACAGTAAAGTAGACCTTGAAGGAAGTCTTCCTTGGATGACTAGACCATTGTTTCTGTGATGGTGTGTCATCACTGTTCTCCCTCGGAAACGTGATCATTACCTCATGTCGACCGGGCTACCCCCCAACAATTAATTTATTACCTGAATTAGGTAGCCTGCTTCCTTTAAAGCAATGATCTGAGCAATGGTTGCTTTGCTTAGTTCCTTCCTAACCACAGCACAACTATTAACTGTGATTAGATGGTGAGGTGCCAGAGCAGGACGCACAACCTAACCATTCACTATGAATGCACGGGGCCAATTGAGTATACCATCTATGTGCCTCTGGGGAAAACCTGGAAAACCCCCCCCCCTAATGTTATGTACCCACTTTTAACTTCTGTCTCAAATATTTAACCCACACAACTGTTATACCTTTTATGCCATAAGTACACACCACCTCGAGCCGATACTTTTATTGAGTACTGTAGGTTCAAATTTTATGTTGTAATATAATTTATAATTGTGCACACATAATATTAAAACTCTTTCCACAGATTGAATTAGAATTGAATGATACCATCTCGGAAAGGAATGAATTACATGGTCAACTAACTGCTCTGGAGCGCATCAAAACATCCTTAGAGGGTGAACTCACCACCCTCACTAACACACTTACTGATAAGCTCAAGCTTATTGAACAGCTGAACTCGGACAAAGAAGGACTTTCTAAGGAAAATGCAGAAATGGAGGTATGCCTATGCATATACTGTATATAGATTTACAGCATTTAAAGAGGAGCATTTAATTTTGTTGAGAGAGTTCTGCTATTGATTTTTCTGAATTTGATTTAATAAATAATTTTAAATAATTCATCAGGTACGACTGTCTGGTGCAGACAAGGAGTTAAATGCACTCCGTGAATCACTAGCAACACTGAAGGCAGAGAAACAGAGCTTGGAGAGTTTTGCATCATCCCTTGAGAAGAAGTGGTCAAATAATGAAGCTCGGCGAACTCAGCTGGAGAAGGAGAATCAGCAGTTGAATACTGATAAAGAGCGACTCCATACACAGGTGATTTGAGATTTGCTCGACGTGGGTGTGCGTACATCCCGCTCATTTCTGGAACATGACATCATGGCCATTTGTGACCCCCTTCGCCCGAACTTTTGCAGTCAACTCCATGCAGTCATCTATATATATATATCTAGCATATACAAACTTTATTGTATAATTTATAGTTCAGTCAAAATACAGTAAACATTAAAAACTATATATATACTAGTATGTTTATTTTGTAATTGTGAAAACATGTAATTGCCTATTATTCCCATTGCCAAGTTATTTTGGATTTTTGCATTCATTTGCAAGTTTGAGTTTCTTATTATTATTCAGCTGCAAAATTATTCTGAATTCAGGATTTCATTATATTGAGATTGGGAGTTTTGAGGCTGCATTGCACTGCATGTAGACTACTCATTACAGCACTTTGTAATAATTAAAATATCTTGTGATTATTACAGCCCTGTACTCCTTACAGAACCTAGTTCATATCCTTAGATATGTTTGCTCTGGGATGTCATTCTTGATCATCTTCAGGAAATCAAATGTTCATTATTATTATTATTATTATTATTATTATTATTTAATAATTTGCTTGGTTTGATATAACATTATCATTATTTTAGATGAACAAACTCCAGCGTGAACTTGAGGGTGAGCTGACTAAATTACGGGAGGCTCGAACTGCTTTGGAACGCCGCTTGGATGAGAAGGAAACGGAGCACAAAAAGGCAATGATGGTGTTACGTGACCAGCAGGAAGAGATGATAGATGATTTGCGCAAAGAAAAGGTACAGAATGCTATATATTAATCATCAGCATTGTGGTTGTTTCATGCAGGAATAAATGTTTGTAGCACAGTGGTCTATGTTCTCGACTAACAATTGAGGACCCATGGTTCAATTCCCTGGTAGAACAGAAATAGTTGGGCACTTTTCCTTTCACCTGATGCTTCTGTTTACCTAGCAGAATATAAATACCCAGGAGGTAGGCAACTGTTGAGGGTTGCATCCTGCAGAAATTTTAGTAGTTGACCTAAGGGGACCTCGCTACACTTAGTTGCAGGCTTCCTGGGCCCTTACAACATGAATTATAATTTCAATAGCAATACGCTTAAGTGGGCAGCTTTGGTTTTGCATTGACCTATTTTGAAGAACTATAACTAATTTATACTTGTAAGTTCTGTTTTTATTTATTGCAATTTATTTGCCTTGAAAAGCATAATTCCATGCCACATTTGGTGTAGGTAATTAGGTGAATTCTTTAGCCAAACTTACTATTAGTGATGTCACTTGTATACATAGCTATCTGTGTTCTGGGTGTGTGGAAGCTGAACAAAATATTCTATAAGCTACATGTAGAGTATGTATAACTGTCTTGTGATTTAGGATTACTGGAAGGACAACATTCTCACTAGATGGCAAGGCTTGCTTTTCCTTCAGAGTAGTTCTTTTTTTAAGGAAGTGTTTATATCAATGACAATGTATTGACTTGCTATAGCAAGCAAAGAGGATGAAATATTGTGAAATAAATTAATCATCATTATTATGTCATTTTAAACTTTAATAAGGTAGGGGGGGGGGCATCAGCCTAGTGAAAAAAAAAAAAAGCAATCTTCCCTCCCTTTTATTGCAGGGAATATGAGGCTGTTTGTGCCACATAATAGTGGGCAGCGTCGCCACCATTATGTGGAGGGAAAATTGCATTTTGTTAAGTCAGTTTATGACAAATAATCGGTATGATTGAATTTTAATGTGAAGTACAAAATGAATAACCTTCTCTCTTTTCAACATTAAACCATTATGTATATTAATATGAATTGCTCCTGATGTCATAATAAATACATTTATTCTTAATAATAAGGTATATTAAAGGTTAATATTCTTTGGTAATGGTTTTTCAGAATAATTTGCAGTCCGAGCTAGAAGATAAGCTGAACTCGACCATCCACTCCCTCAAAATCGAGAAGGATGAACTCGAGCTCAAGAAAGATCAAGAAATTTCCTCCCTCAAGCGTTTTTCTGAAAAGCTGCAACGTGAAAGGGATGATTCTGCACTGCGTTTTGAGGAAGAGAAGCACAGATCCATGATGCTCGGTGAGCTCTATACTATCTTTGAAACTTGGCATGATGTAAAGCAGAAATTACATAATTCTTAGTATCACTCCAGATGTAAATATTACAATAAAAAATAGAGAATTGAGTACAGTACTGTATATTGAAATGTCTTTTTCTGAGGGGCCCCCTCACCCTCAGTGGCTCTTCAGAGCATATTCACTGGTACTCCAGAGCCAGATCTAACACACCAGTTCATGGCCAATTTGGAACAGGCTCGAGAATACTACCCTCCCTTCAAAGAGACGGAGAAGCTGGAGGAGTCATAATACTTCGGGAACACTCTAGGGAGATTTAACCAAAATGAGGGAAAAAATACATAGAACTAAAAAATGTATGTAGAGAAATGTTTGGCACAATGGAATATCAAACAAAAATTCAAAACTCCCAAGTATGTAAAATACCAACTCAAAGTTTTTTCCTCCCAATATCAGATGTCAGCACTAAATAACTAGGGGTCTGCAAAGGCTACCACTGTCACACTTGAGCCTGATGTATTTTTTTTATAACAAACTTAGGGACTTCTGCATTTATGCAGATACCATAGACTATTTGAAGGGTTACATAGTTTGTGTCAAGAGATACTGATACTATGTGATACTGTACTAAAAAATTCTCATCTCGCAGGATAGTCAGTCATACATGGGTATGTGATCAGTAGCCTACACTGGCGAAATTTGGGTGCATTATGAGGATATCTTCAAGAACACGTTTAGTTCAGCCAGTTTTTAACCTGACACTAATAGGCTGTGTGTAAGTATTATTTCTATAAATCCTACACATCGCTGCAGTGTGTCCTGTTTTTTCATTCATCTGAGCCTTCGATATAGTAAAGGCTCATGAGATCTCAGGTTTTTGAGAGCGGAGTTAATTGTTTGAAGTGTGACAGCTTTTAGAAGAACAAGATTCTCGGTACCTTTCTTGGTGATGGGTGTGTATTATACTGTGGTGGTGGAGTACAAATGAAGAGGGATATTTTGTTTAGTTTGATGAGACTGTAAGCATTTTTGCTCAATCATTTTTCATACAAGTGGTGAGCTGATGTGTTATCAATTGCTGGTGTAGTTAGGGTGTAACCCCCCAGAATCTATAGGTAAGTAGAAGAGGCAGGGGGGGCAAAAATGAGAACCACTGAGGGTCTTCAAGAAAAGGGCATTTCATTACATTCTTCACTGGGTTTTCCTATTAGTTTGCTCATAATTTAAATTTGTATCTTTTTAACTTGATTTCATTATTGTTTGGTAACAGCCCAGCAAGAAATTGCAAGCTTGGAAGAGAAAGTTGCCGCACTACAGCGCGATCTTTCAACATATGAGAGTCAGTTAGAGCAGCTGCGACGTGATGGCTCCAGTAAAGCAGAAGCAGGACGAGTTAATGAGGGAGCACTACACAATAAAATTGTACAGCTCAAAGAGGAATTACATGCTAACAGGTGAGGTAATCACTACTGGTGTTTGTGGAGACTTGGCTACCAATATGTGGAGGTCTAAAGGATGTCATTGTGAATAATTTTCACTTTTAATTGATTTATTTAATGCTCAAGAAATTTAAATATCAACAATAATATTTAGAGAGGTAATAAATAGAGTAGAAGTTGAGTCTAATGAACAAAATATTACTAAAGACACAGTGTTTTACTGGAAACCTGAAATGACTTAACAACACAGCAAGATCTATATACTAAAATTTTGAAGCTTTTATGATTAAAAATTTTAAAAGCATTAGCTTTTAGGATAAAATTTTGAAATACTTCGTTTCCCTGATGAATTTAAGCAATTTGTATAAGTTCATTATTTGTGTGGTGCTTGTGATGTGATTGCTACTCAATGTCAGGTTAGGCATTGTTACTGTTGGCAAGTTACTAGATATGTGACCACATGGACACAGTCTACACCTTGGAGGCGATGAGTCACAATAACGTGGCTCAAGTATGTTGACCAGACCACACACTAGAAACGTCGTCGTCCCTTCAATTTCTAGTGTGTGGTCTGGTCAACAGTCTACACCTTGGATAGTGACCTCATCAAGTCATGCATGAGCATCCTGTCCTTTACAGTGTATACCCATATCATTTAAGTAGAGAAACCAGTACTGTTCATCTGAAAAATATACATCATGATATATATTTGTGTGCTCCCCTATGACAAGATCACTGCTGGTTCTATTGGAGAGGATCATTGCAGTCAAGGAAAGTTAATATTGTGCTCCAGTACAACCAGAATCTGTTGAAATGTCCTTGTCAGGTCAATTTAGTGCAAAGAAAGCACTAGAGACAAGCTCAGTCCGGCACAGAGGAACCACAGATTTATTCATAAATACTCGCAGCCATTTTTAGTTCTAATTAGCATCACAAGGCCTGCCATTATAGCACTCTCTTGTCCCCAAACTACCACTTTGCCCACCTAGCCCTTATTCATGACTAGCACCAGATGGCAGCACCCACAGCAACACTATCAAACTCCATCTCTTACAAATACAAAAAATACAAATATTTATTCAGGTAAAGTACATACATACAAGGTGAAATACAAAAGTTGATGGATTCATAGATAGAGCTAGTACATACAATGCCTAAAGCCACTATTACGCAAAGCGTTTCAGGCAGAAAAAAACACTTAAGACTAAAACTTAATACTAACTTACATTAAAGTATAAATTGTGTTGAGAAAAAATCAGAAAAAAAGGGGGGGAAACATGGCAGAAAAAAGCAAAAATACAATTTGGTCAACAAACAGCATTGTTTAAAATCGTAGACATGGGTTGACATTTAGGGGTGAGGTAGGTTACATTGAGTTAATTATCTTCTTAAATCTCACACCATGATACCCGTATAGTCTGACTTTACTCAGATGACCTTCATGGACTAGAGCCAATTTGTTGCACTGGGAATTTTATTTAATCTAGATCCCTGATAGCTTCAAAGGTCCATTTTTTCCCCACTCTAATGCGTGTTCAAATTTGCATTATAATAAATCAATCTATGTGAAAAGAAATTCATATTGTATAGTACACTACTTTAAAGTATGTATAAAAAGAGAGGACAGAAGGCTGTAGTATAAAAATGAACATCAGATTTTTCTAGCACCTTGGTTAATAAATATTCTCTTACAGAATAGTGCGGTGAAATAGCTTTTCCAGTCTGTATGGGGTTTGTCAGGCAAAATGCGAGCTTGGGCAGTGTTTGAATACCCTATTGACATGTGGTGTAGCAGCTATGCAGGTCATCAAGAAATTAGCAGAGTGCTTCCTGGTGATTCTTTGATGTTGAGTAGTGCTTTGAGGAATTTTGAATGTAGATAAATGAAGATTTTGAAGGTAATTTTTGGCTCAACAGTGTTCTCTAGTGTCTCCCATTGCCCCCATGGTGTTCTTTGAGCAAATTCTTGCTACATCGTGGCAAAATATTGACTTCCTCGACCTTATTTGGTTCTGTCCTTTGTGTCCTTGCTTAAGAGGACAACTGAAAGGCCTAATCAGACATGAGATTCATCAGCACTCGATGTTTTCATTATTTTTTGTTTTCATCAATATTTGGATATTATTAATTTTAATTTAATATGATGAAATGGCATTTAAGTGAATGAAAATCAATGGTCTCTTAACTTAAACCTATTTCTGGAGCAGATAAAGCTTTTGTTATTATAAATGATCATTTGCCTTTTTGCAACCCTGCACTTTTGTCATTCATTTAAAGCACAGTTTGCATGGGGCTGTTTTAAACTTTAATTTCTTGTTAACTGTATTTCACTCTTCTTGGAATGGAATATTTGATATTACATGAAAAACACCTGATTAAGTTTTCTTCATCAGCCAAACATTTGAAAAGCAGCTCAAGGAAGAAAAAGATTCGTACGAGCGTAGAATACGAGAGCTCCAGAGCCGTCTTGATGATGCCCGGAGAGATAATGAGGTAGAGATCACATCTATTAAGACAGACTTGAGACTGGCAAGGGAAGACGCATGTCGGCTCCAGCAGGATTTAGAGGATGCTGAAGAGAAGCTTAAAGATGGTAAAATGTTTATTTTCAACATATTACAGTATTAATATTTGAGATTTTTTAGTGCTCATAATATTTGCTCCATTGACATATTCTGAAGCATTATCTAATAAGGTATGCTAAAGGAGAGTTTATGTATTTATCAATGTCCTATTTTTGCCAAATTTATTTAAAATGTGGAGAGCAACTGAGTAAATGATATTTTGACCAAGTAGTAGATCTTCAGCTAATACAACATTCTCATGATGGTCTCGAATATGTTTTAACAAAATCATTGATCTTACTCAGCCGAAGAGAAAAGAGGTTCTTTGAAGAAGGAAATCAGCCGAATTAATGATGAAATGCGCGCTGCTGAGGAAAGAAGATCTACTGAATTGCAAATATTTATTAAAAAATCAGATCAGGAGAAAAAGGACATACAAAAACGTCTTGATGATAAAGAAAACAAGCTTAGTTGTAAGTTGAAATGTGTCTGTCTGTTTCTTAATTATTGCACATTGCAAATATTTATGCATACAGTACATGAATATTTTTACTGTTAGGATCATTTATGAGTTTCCAAGCTGTTCTCACACTTAATACATCACAACTGTTATGCTATTGTACAAAGTGTGAAATTTAGGGTGCTTTAGTTAAATTAAAAGCACAGCAGTAATGATGCTTTCACATACACTTTCATGAGCATTATCCCATGACTGGTCAGGTGGTTTGCCTTGATCCGTACTCTTCTAAATGGTATGACAGACCCTGTGATGCCGGTGAGCTTGTAAGAATAAGTTGTAATTTCACCATAGGCAAATTGACTGTGAATCACTTATATGATAAATTCCTATGTTGTATCCATGATATACATACAAATTTCTTGTTTTCACTACTGTATATGAAAAGGCTATCCACCAAGAACTTTGTTTAAGTCTTTGTTAGGGAAGTATTCTCATTAAAATACTCTAATGAAATTTTAGCTTCATGTACTTTTCATATAACATGCCATTAATTAAATTTCCTTTGCTTTGGTTTACAATGAGAAAATCCACAGGAGCCGTGATGAGGATTCGAACTTACGTGCTGGGTATTCTCAGATGCACGCTCTAGACGACTACGCCACGACGTGATCAGATGTCGTGGCGTAGTCGTCTATTACGCCACAACATGTCATCCCGTATATGTCGTGACTACGCCATGACATCCACTGGAAGTTTCACGGCTCCTGTGGATTTTCTCGTTGATATATCATGATAATGTGATTTCTGTGTGTTTTGGTTTACAATATTCTTCACTGTAGAGAGAAGAGCATCATAAACCTGACAGATACCTAGATTAAGTTCAGTCTTTTTTGCCACCTCCCAAATTAACAGCTTAGGAAGGTTTGTTCACGCTTTTTGTGAATTTAGGCCGAGTAGCATGATTCTTGATTTTGAAGGAGTGGCACCAGATAAGAGTTCACAAACATTATGGGATTGCCTGTGTAATACCATATACTGTGTGTATGTGTGTGTGTGTGTGTGTGTGTGTGTGTATGTATATATATATATATATATGTATATATATATATATATATATATATATATATATATATATATATATATATATAATATAATATAATATAATTTATGATTCACTGTACTTATTCATAGGAATTTAAAGAAAAACTAAGAGTTGCAAATCATAAGTATTTTGATAAAATAAATATTGGTGTGAATTTGAACTACTATATCATTTTCAGCTCTGGAAGTTTCTGAAGCCAAGCATGCAGATCTGATTGCTCGCATGACAACGCAACTTCGGGAATTAAACTCGGTCAAGCAGGATGCTCACAGGGATATGTCAGACCTGAAGAAAAAACTTCAGGTTTGTTAGAAACAATTACACACATACTCGGAAAACAATAGTCATATAGTGTATGATATAAATTAGTAATTGCAGTCTTCCAGCCAAAATTGAATAATAATAATATAATAATAATAATAAGACATCACCAAAGACTGCAGATAGAGCTATAACATTAATGTTATTGAGGTAGTGTACCTGACTAGGGAGAGCATTAATCATATTCTTTCATGTGTGTTTTTGTAAACAATCATTCAAAGTAGAAATATAATGCCAAAGATTGCTGGATTGTTTCCAGTGAAGGTTAGACCCACATGTGAATGAGTTTGGGTTAGTATTAAAAGAAGCCAGTGTTCCTTCTGCAGCTTCCATTATTCTTACGTTTATATATTCTTAGATACAGCACTGTACTACCATCCTTAGAAGATCAGGCTGAGGTCTATGAAACTTTTAGGAAATAGCTTACCCTTTGCATATAATTCTTACAGAAAATCTGTAGCTGCAGTGAAGGTAAAAGAATTATAAATTGTTATCCATTAAACAACCATTTCTGAGCTAAGGCACCTTGATTACTGACCTGAGCCAGAGGGCTTTATGGGTTCACAGAAACCCTTTCCACCAGCCAAGCTCTATTGACTTGTTCCCCCACCGTGATGAGAGACGTTAAAAAAATCTGCTCACAGGGTGGTGGCGGTGCTGCTGTTATCCAATAGCAATTAAGGGAATGAATGAGTGTCTGGCTGGTAGTTAGCAGAGAGATAGTTTGTGAAATATGATTTAAATTTTTGTTTACATGGGCTTTGTCGATTTTAATGTTTATTCTTTTATCTTAGGATGAATTGGTCTCTAAGAGGTGGTTACAGTTAAATTCATAATTTTCTCCCTTCCTCAACTACATGACTAGATTACATGGAGTGTTATAGGTCATGGTGGGTGAAGAAGTCATTAGAACCTGGCAGGTAGAAAGTGTGTGTGTGTAATGGCCCATATTGATCACTTATTGAAGGGCACAACTGAGGGCCAACTCATGAAGCAATACTGTATTGCATTTTACTCCATGTTCTGTTTTTCACAGAAGCTGCACAGAAAAGCAGTTCTTACTATATATATTCTAAATTTATAAAGAAATTGACCAAGGCATAATAATAATACAGTATTAAAAATTAATGCAAATTTGTTGAATACATGCAGTATGAATGCTTGCAGAATACTTGAAAAGTTTTTCTAGGAGGACTCTCTCAGCAGCTGAGCTGAGTCCAGCCAAGCATTAGGGGGTGGCTGAATCAGGTCGTTGAGACCCACCCAAGCCTGTCATGAGCAATGGCATACACTGGTGTTCTCAATGAGGTGATGAGAGTTTGGCAATGGGACATCAATCAAAAACTGAGACTAACCCAAGAAAATGTAATCATCAAAACAACTGATTACTTTAAGGAAATTAGGTGCTCTCATATAGAGCTGGATTCTGCTCCTGGCTTCCAGTAAGCTTGAATGGGTCTCATAGGGCTGGTGCCTCTCTCTTAAGGATTGGCTGGACCAACACTGTACTGTATCCTTACAAGTTCTTTTAAATTAGATTTTTGTTGTAAGTTTTCAGTTGAAGTTGAATTCAGTTTGGTTTTAATATTATTTGAATTAATGTAATTTAAGCTGTTAGAAACGGAAGGACTCAGCAAATCTCAAGAGTTGGAAAACCTCCGGCTTCGGTTGTCCTCAGAAGAAGACCGCCATAATGAGAGCAGAAAGGAGGCTTCAAAACTGAAAACAAAGGTTAGTCTTATCTTTCTCATTGATTCTAATGCAATTTGCCGTACGTGTTATAACTAGCACTTCTTATAAGTATTTTGAAATAGCCTGGATTTGTGTACCCACCTTGACGTACATGCTGCCCATATTACACACACACAGTTACAAGACTGAATTAGCACTTTTAGTCCAAGTACAGAAAAGCATGTGTGATATTTTTGAGATGTCTGAAGTGTCTCCCTTTCACCATATATGACCTGGAAAGAGTAGTTTGAAAAGATCCATGCCTGTTGGCAATGTTGGTAACAGGTGACCTTGACTGGATAACCCCAGTGCTGTGGCAGTGGCATTTTTGCCTTAAGGAGTGACTGAGGGTTTAAGCTCAAAAATTTTTTAAATTAAACTTGGGTAAATTTTACATTAAAGATATTCCTAACAACATTTAAATGATATATGTATTGGTCTCTTTAAAGGTGGCAGAATATGAGCGAGAACGAGACAATCTGCAAACAGAGCTTGCTCTTTTAGAACGAAGATTGACTGAACTTGAGGACCACCACGCAGCTAAGGAACAGGAACTGGCCAGCAGGTAATTTAGTAATTCATCCTCTGTTCTGTTATACTATTGCAAACATAGTAAAACCAAAGAATTTGTAGAGGTACCCATGTTGTCTATTACATTATACTGTAACTGCAAATGTTTTTGAATAAATTGACTCATTACTGAACGTATTCATACATTATCCCTAGTGATTGTACATGGGCACTAGTGTAATGCCTCAGATATTTTCGCAATAGTTTATTCACGTTTACACTATTTTCAGCCTTGAGGAATCTCGTGCAAATGAACGCAAATTAAATGACGAGAAGAAGAACCTCGAGAATTACCTTAACAATGCCAATCAACAAATCAGCAACCTTAAGGTATAGTTCAATCTTAATTTTATAAAATAGTGTCTCAGTTCCCATCATATAGCGGTGGCTATGTCTGGTCACTCCATAGTCACTAGTGTAGCTCATCTACAGTTATAAGTGGTGTCTGGCCTCTTTAGAATTTCCAGAGAGAGAGAGAGAGAGAGAGAGAGAGAGAGAGAGAGAGAGAGAGAGAGAGAGAGAGAGGGGTACTGAGACACAAACACACTATAATAACTTATTATAGTGTGTTTGCTAGTCTGATAGATATATATATATATATATTTATTATTTATTTATTTATTTATTTATTTATTTATTTATTTATTTATTTATTTTCTCACAATAAATTAAGGGATGGTAACAAATAATTTTAGATGAATCCATAATCAGGAGAGGGACATTGACATGGTTGGAGTCATAGCAGATCCTTGGTGTGCAGGGTGGCTAGAGTTACTGTTGGAGAAGAGTAGAGATCTTCTTATGCAGGTCTATGGCTAAATGAAGTTCGGCCAAGTAGATGGTCAATTTATATGATTGGCACCCCCAGCTCAGGTTAATGAGCATCATATGTTGTAATAGGTTTGAGGAGTGCTACAGAGGACATGCCTTAGTGTCTAGGCTTTTGCTTTGGGAGTTTGACTATGGGATCAGTTGTCTGGTTTTCATACTTCGAGGCTTACGTTTATCCTCTACTAGCCTGCCTTCCAGCCTCTGGAATACACAGCAAGACTAGTGGAAAGATTATTTGATTTACTGATGCTTAAAGTGAGTGAGTGCCTGGAATGAATGAGCAGTGTCCTGGATGAACCCTGACCCTTTCTTAGGGAAAACTGAGGGTCCACTCACAAGGTGGCAGTTCAGTCTTTTTAACACGGTATTTTCTCTTATTTTTTGTAGGTGAAACTGTCCCGAGAAGAGGGACATGTTGAAGCCCTTGAACAACAACTGGGGAACTTGGACACAACCAGAGAACAGCTGGAGAGAAAACTGCAGAATGTGTACACATCTCTACGCACAGTCACCCGCATGTACCAAGATGTTTCACCATCGTCGCCTGCGCTACGGAGCAGGAAGGGCAAGATTGGTTGGTATATTAAGCTTGTGCATTAGTCAGTGGCAGACATGTGCCAACTGGTGGTTCAAGTTGAAGCAGTGTAAAGTTTACCTGGAAAGTTTGTTGTCACTGAGTTAGCGTGCATAGTCACATCCTTGAATACTTGCTTGATTGCTTATGCCAGTAAGCTGCAGTTGAGTACAGTACTTTAATATTGTAAATTAAAGCTTTGTCTTCATTTATTGCTGCTTGCTTTTAAATATTTTAAAGAATATCATAAAACCATTATTGATAGGCTTGGCCCTGAGAGCTATTTAAAATGGAAGAATGCATACCATTCAATTTAATAAGCTCTCGGTATGGGATTAAAATATCAATAATTGTGCAATAATGAAATTACATTGATGCACATGCTTCCTAGAGTTTCTATTAAATATACATCATTACACAGGAAAATATTGACAAACATTCCTGCATGTGTATTTTTCATATTGAAAAACACTTATCATGTTATTGTTAATTTTTAAAAATTAACAATATGTGAAATGTGATAACTATACAAGTACTGTAATATATAAATATTCTGTATATAAGACTTGAATTCTTTGAGATTGAACAAAGGTCGTACGTGCACATTTTGTTTTGGGCTCTCCTCTATACACATACTCTGAGTACTCCAAAACTTTGTGACAAACCTTATAGGAAGCATCATAAACATTGTTTCATAATGTAACTACTATTAGGCAAATACACAGTTTCACGCTGTCAGGTTGGCCTTGAGGGACTCTTGCCTAAGAGAACCTCACAAATAATGTTTTAAGTGCATATGATGAGCTAGTTTACAAGCAAGACTTACTAGTCGCTCCGGTATATTCCCTCTTCCGCCCAACTTACCCTGTGCCTGTGTGGATGCCTTGGGATGAAAGTGAAGAGATGTCCCTAGGCACTTCTCATGACATTGCTGGTTAGATAGGAGCCGGGAAGTAAATGAGCAGTTTAGCAGAGGAATACTTGGCAGTGTTTTTCAGGTAAAGTAGTGTGTTTAGAGATGTATAGAGGGTAACTGATGGGCCTTCTGATGGTCACTTTTGGCTAGATTGAGAATGATTCAGTGTTTTCCTCTGCCAATTCATGGAATTTAGTTATCTTGTGGAGAGCTGGACATTCTTTGAAGGCAGTAGCTGACTTGTTCAGTGAGTTTTTCTATTCTCAAAAGAATTATTTATACAGGTAGTCATGCACTAAATAAAATTTACTAATTTTAAGCACTGCTTTGTATGGGAAAAGTATTCCTATAAATTTTTAGTTATGTAAATGATGGCTGTTTGCATTTTATCTAAACATTTCAATAAAGTACATGTGTACAATATACTTATGGATGCTTTGTAGGGGATAATTTACCCAACTTTAGTGTACTACTGAAGGCAAATTGAGTCAAAGATAGACTTTAATCTTCTTTCTTAGATCTATTTTTCTATTTATATATTAAAGAATTGTTTTGGTTTATAGTGGAGGTATTTAACATGCTTGTGATTCATCAAAGGAACACCACTTCACCTACAGGTTTCGAACTGTCTGGTAGCCACAGTGATATACACGCATCAATTGAGGCTCTTGGATCGCCTGAAAAAGTTAACGTAGCAGAGATTGACCCAGAAACTGTACGTCATGAATTACGAGCCCTAATGACCCAGATGAATCAAGTGGAGTTAGAAAGGGTAAGAATATGCATTTCATCCTATCGGTTTTATCAAGTAAAATTGCTGATGCACACAAGTCAACTTAAGGATTATTTCATACAGGACACTAACTGTAAATAACAAAATGATTATGAATTAATCCATTCAATCCGTCAGGATGACGCTGTGGCTCGTGTAACGAGTCTTGAGCGACAACTCTCGGAGCTCCAAGAGACACACCATAAATCAGAGGCTAGATTAAGAGATGTCACTAGAACTCTCTCAGAATTGGAGGAGAAGAAGCGCTATGCAGATGATAAACTCAACAAAGCCGTGTCAAATGCCAGCCAACAGGTACATTTTGTCTGCCTTTTCATCAACATATTATGACAGTATATCATAGTATGATAATGAATAACCACAGGTTAAATTAGTCAGGATGTTGTTATATTACATAAATATGTAAATTTGCAAGCAGTTTACCTCATTTTGGGTTAATATAAGATATATGTGATATTTATATAAGTGATATAAGCATAAGGTATCTACTTGGATGCCTTTCTTCATTCAATACTCTGTTTTTTAGTCTTACCCATAACACTTTCCACCTCTGAGGTAGAGGCCATTGATGTATACATATTTTTCCTAATAACTTAGTTTAAAATTGCAGGAGGATGCTCTACGTCGTAAGGAGAGTGAAATCCGCACCCTGAACGAAGAGCTGAGCAACACTCGGCGCAAAGTGGCTGATCTAGAGCACGACAAGAGCTCTCTAACAGTAAGTTCCCATGATTATAATTTTTCTTCTTTTGTAATGTGTTTGAGTTAAGGCCTCTTAGGTACTGTTATAGCCAGCTCCTATACATTTCACAAAGTTAAGGCAGTTGTATTTGTGTTTGTGTGGAAGCTCTTCCTTTGGATTTTGTTGTTCCTCAGTTGTAGTGTACAGGGTTTGGTTGACGAATAATGAATTCACGCCTCTTGCAACTGGACTTCTTTTTGGTCTTTGTCCTGGGATTAATGGGGTCTAATTACCTTGTCAGGTTTTCCTGTTAGTCTCTAGTAGTGAGCTGGTAATATCTCCTAGTTTTGAGCCTAATTCAGTTATTTGTAGTATCTGATATTGATTCATGTATTGAGTTGGGGTGGGGGCAAGGGCTATGACCTATATTATCAACTTTGTCTTTTTATTCTAATAGTGTGGGGGTTTGTACTCTCCTTGTACCTGTGCTCTCTTTTGGGGGATTTAGAGCTAACTCTACTCAGGGGACTCTTTCCACTTGTGGTTGTTGGTGCACATCTCTGCTTCTGTGTTTCTTGTATTTGAAGAGAGAGAGAGAGAGTGGCTGCCTCACTCGCCTTTATTTTACATGTGTTTGGAGGTTTGTGTTCTTTGTGAAGTTCATTCTGTGTTTGACACAACTGGCTGTGGCCAATTTGTCCTTACAAGGCAAGTTGCCTGAGTCTCATGCCTGTGCAGATATCGGTCATGTTCTGTTCTCTTAGTTGTTGTTATGTTATAATAATTAATAATTCATTGTGTTGGGGAGACAGGCAGCCAGTTTAGACATACAAAGCCTAACATGTACATACAGTACATGTTAGGCTTATATCAGTCATTCCCAGGGTCAAATTACTGACCCTCCCTAGGATTCAATCTGAATGTTCTAAAGGTAGATGCAACCTTATAGATACCCAGGAGTTGCTGACTAATTCCTGGGTACCTATTTGTCTAGGTGGACAGGGACATTAGGTGACAGGAAACACACCCAACCAATTCCATCTTGCCTGGGATTCGAACCCGGAATTTTCGATTGTGAGTCGAGAATGACACCCAACTGTACTACCAGGACTCTCTTTGCCTCCTCCACTGAATTGTTCTTTTCCCTTAATTGTTTCATGTGGATTTGGTGATTTTGCCCAGACTTTACCCCCAACTGCAATCCTTCCTAAATTGGGGGTGGATGGGGGGAAGTGTAAATTTTTTAGTTTCCTTAGCAGGCCCTATGCCCTGTTATTGGCTGTTATGAATTTTCTTTGGTCCTGCAAGGTTTTCCCTCATATTTGATACTCCTGATATGTGTGTTGTAGGCCTGGCCATTTTTTTCTCTGTTTTGATGGTCGGTGGGAGGGGTTGGTTCTGGACCCTCCCCGGGTACATCACCTAGGTTGCCTGGATGTTTTGCCCCTGAGTTTTGCAGATTGGTACTCTGGCTACCCTGGTGGGTGCCTGAGATCTGTAGGCATGCACTCCAGGTCTGCCTTTGTCCTTTAGCTCTCTGTTGATTGTCACAATGCCATTATGAAGAATGATAACAATCATGACATGCCCCCTATTTTACTTGGGTGTTTGTTCTGGTGTCCTTGGGGCGTAGTTCCCGATCAGTGTCCCACAGTTTTCTGTGTTTTTCCTCTGACTCCTGGTTCCCTGGTTCAGCCCTTCAAGAATCTTGTTTTGAATCCTTCCGTTCCTTAGCTGCATTCTCGAGTTTTTCATGTAGCTTTTCAATGGTTCAAATATCAAATGCTTTTTGACATAAAGAAATGTTGTGTTTAATTTTGAGTAAGTTAAAGAAGGGGTAGAACCAGTGAGAATCTTTTGTATGTGTACACAAAATGTGGATTTTAAAGTATTTTATATTGTTACTGATGATATTAAGATGATAGATATTTGGCTAATTTAGTTTTCAACAACTAACAGGATCGTGTACAGAAACTCAAAAATGCTGTTGGCCGAATAGAGATGGAAAATACTGACATTAAAGAAAAGCTGCGGGCAACTGAACAACGAGCTACATTACTTGACGACTCAAAAGGAAGACTTGAATCAGATCTCGGTGCAACTAAAAAGGCTCTTAGTGAAAAGCAGATGGAAATTGAGGTAAATATATATAAAAACTGTGTGTGTGTATTTAACCAAGTCTAGTTACTGTAAGAGAACTAAGAGTCCTGTTTTCCTTATATTCTTTATAATGTTAAGATTTAAAGTTTCCAATGGTATTAGCACACACTACAACCCTTTTAATTCTGTCTTCCTTCAGACCACCACTGGGGATACAGGGAGGGGAAGTGAAAGATATGGATCTTCATATCTGAGATAGATTTCTGTCAGCTTTCTCAGCCTTCTGGCTATTGTCTATTGATGTCTTAGGTTTTGGCCTTGGTATAGGTTCTATGTGGATGAGGACCATGTAATAACCAATACCACAATACAATACCTCCATAGTATCACCACACCACCACCACTCCACCTCAACCTCTTCCCTACCTCCTGTATACCAGTCTAATCTTATTATATTCCTTACACTGCACTTATAAATATGCATGTACTCTACTCATTACAGCATACCTGGAGAGGTTCTGGAAGTTTTTCTACTTCTTGAGAAAGTACCAAACTCTATTCTTTACAGCACCGTACTCTACTCATTACAGTACCATAGTCTACTCATTACAGTACCATAGTCTACTCATTACAGTACCATAGTCTACTCATTACAGTACCATAGTCTACTCATTACAGCAGATACTCTACTCATTACAAGACTATACTCATTACAACACCGTACTCATTACAACACCGTACTTTACTCATTACAGCACCATACTCTACTCATTACAGTATTTTACTCTACTCATTACAGTATTGTACTCTACTCATTACAGTGCCCAGTAGTCATTGACCTGTGCACTTATTACATCACTATTCATATCCTGATATATTCTATCCCTGAGTTACATCTTTCAATTAGCAACTACCAAAACATATCTTTCTGAGGGAATGTAGTTTATTATAAGTTCATCACTGTTGGTGTTTGGTGGCAGTGCCAAATTTATCTTTGCAGTTCTATACATTTCAAGAAAGAATTTGTTCCGTGTGTCACTTACTACCAGGTTTTCAATACGAAGCTTCAAATCCATTTTCAATTCTTACTTATTTCTTATTCTTGACTCGTCTAGAAATGTGTTAAGAAAGCCGGCAACTACTTTCGTTTAATTTAGAAAGTGGCATGTGTTTGAAATAATATATGTACTATTTGTTTCTCTATTGTTCTACAGAGTCTAGTTGTTAGCAGGGAGAATTATAACCGTAACATGAGAAGTCTTGAAGACCAAAACTCTTCCCTTAAGGGCAAAGTCGAAGACCTGAAGACACGCATGGCTGTTATCGCTAATTCAGAATCCGAACTGAAAGATAAACTCTCTTCCATAAACCGATCACTAAAGGAGACAGTTTCGTCATCCAGTAGCATGCAGGAAGAACTCTCTAGGGTATGTTGCTTTTTTGCTTCTTATTTATATATCTATCGAAGATTGGTGCAGCTAATAGAAATTGAATTGCAGCTGGAACTAGTCATTTTCAGGTTGTAATGTGTTAAAGAATATTTTAATAGCATTTGAAAAATAATGAGTTAAATACTGTGTGATGTTAAAACTCCATTAGTGTCATCCCAGAGCTTATGCATTTGTATCCCAGGACAAAGTCATACACATGCTTGACATGTTGGACAATCATGTGGCCTAGTTTAGTTTATCACAAATACACAAATAACCTCACAACGACTACCCTTTTCCTACCTTGTTTTCTTACTTATCCATGGGTTCAGAGGATTTAATGAAGCCTCCAGAGTGACATTGGTGATCTTACTGGAACCCTTGTTGACTGACACTGCCCTAAGGTGGTGGAAGGGAAAAGCAGTAAGGTGGTATTTTGGACATTTATTAAACTAGTTTTGAGTTTTGTTTGGTATTTGTTCATACCATTTCTTTATGCATGTTTTGAGTTTTGTAAGCTCCTATTAGTCATTTTGGTAGGGGGTTTCCTCGGTTAAGTGTATTGTGACTTGTCCCAGGTTTCCGGCCTCTTTTTTTTTTTTTTAAGAGCAGGATTATGGTACCAAGAGATGATCACAGATGCCTGGTGTGTTAACCATGGCTAGCCGTTGTGTTCCAGTGCATAAACTCTGGGGAACCACTGAGGTGCCAATCCCAGGAAAATGATACAACTCTTTTTCATCATGTTTGTTTTTCCTTTTGTATGTTTTGTATTTCTTATTCTTGGCTTTAGTTCCAGACTTGTGTGTGTGCTTTACAGTCCCACGATTATGTTTGTTTCACAGTCCCAGAATCTTTTGTCACGAAGTGAAGTCGAGCGCCGTCAGTTGGATGAGCGAGTGGCTGATTTGCAAAGTGCTGTGTCAGACCTCAAACGTCAAAAGGATCAACTTTCAGACTCTAAAAATAAAGTTCAACAAGATCTCTCTAATGCTGAATTAAGGAATGCTGAGCTGGAGATGAACATGAAATCTCTTAGAGGGGTAAGCAAATCTAATTTACTATCTTCATTGTTGCAGTGTTGTAATGTCCATGATACAAATATGAGAGATGTAGGTTATAGCAAAAAAAAACTATCAGTTTTAAGGACTTGAAAAGAAATCTTTTGATAAGAAATGAAAGAATTCGTCAACTTTAGTTGCATCTATTCTCCAGAGCCTTGGTGAGCGATCATCAACAACAGATGAGCTTATCTCAAAGGTGACCCGCTTGGAGCAGGAGAAATCTGAACTTCGCTCTCAGCTTGCTGATCTGGAGGTGGGTTGTCCAGATTTTGTGTTCTTTATTTAATGTGCCTTAGCTATTTGCCTTTAAAGATAATTTATATAGTATTAACAAGAAGTTCAGCTAGAATAAGAAATATTAAGGAACAAAAGAGTGAAGAGTGCTCTGTTTGACACGTCTTCAGTGATACAGTAATAGTCTACTAATATGTATTGGATGTAAAGTATTTTGTAAGTTTTCTTAAGTAAGAAATGTTCGATAGCTTTGTCTCTGGGAAGAAGTAAATAAAGCTCAAGCAGCTTCTAGTCTTGGCCCTACTTTGCTATTGATATGTATATAGTGAGGATTCATATACAACACTTGTACACAATAGACTCCTTTTATGCCATGTTTATACAATTTTTGTATAAACAAAAATAAATACAACTATTATACTACCTGTATTTACAATTTTTATTAAAGTATTTATTATGTTAATTGTGGAGACTCATTTAAAGGTTTTCAAAATATTGCAAGTATTAATATTATACTGTAAATAATTTCCAAGATATTTAGGAACACAGTAGTAAACCTCTTACTTAATTAAGCTGTAAAAAAGATCCTAGTTTCTCATGTCCTAGAAAAGCAAATCATGTCAATAAAGGGCCTTTCCTGGTGGGTTGTCTACGAGGCGAGGGGAGCCTGAGGATTACAGCTCGACCCCAATACCAAGAGAAAGTAAGCAGTAAGGATGGGCACAGCAAAACAAGCAACTGCTTGAAGTAATATAATAACTGAGGTAAATAAGGTTAACAAATGTTGCCACAGGGGTAACTACCCCTAAGATTGATGTGTCAGACCACCACTGGATTGGTGGTTGGATGCCACCAATCCAGTGGTGGTTGATGCCACGTAGAGCCCAGGTCATCGAGGTCCCTGTCAGCTGCCAATCCCACTCGTGAGCCACCAATACAGAATCCCAAAAGTCTTTCACGGAAGAAAGGAAATGGGCAAGATTGGAGACTTACTGAATAGTCCACCTGAGAAAGAAGTTTCATTCCCTTTAGTGCATGATTTCTGAGGGAGTCCTTCAGTAGATTCTTGAGCTTATTCCCAATAGTGATTATTCACAGGACAGGGTTATAGAAAATTGTAAAGAGCTGACCCATGGAAGGACAGCAGCAGAGCATGTCTCTTGATAAAGACAACAGTAGTGTGTTAAATGCCCATTCGCCTTAAAGACGTGGTGTTGCACAGCCGAGAAACATCCATTAACAAGCAAAACTAACCTCTAGATGGATAACAGCTGGGAATAAACTAAAATGCAAAAAAATGCAGCCAAAGCAGCAAAAAAGAGCATTCAGACAATGAACTAGGCCATAAACCTCTTGGATGGATCCTAAGAGACATCAAGATCAAAAGCAAAGCCCCAACTCAAGGTGAAGAACCACCTGGACTGACAAAGGCCTGAGAAAAGAACAACCAAAACTCCAGGAGGGATGTCAGGAACCTATTCCTCAAAAGACCTGGGTGCTGGGACTGAAATCCCAGGGCTCTCAACTCCAACAACTGGCCACCAAACCATAGGGCCAGAAACCATGGTCTGGAGCGACCAACCATTGGAGCGAAACCCACGACCAGAGGCCTTGATTCCCCAGTTGAAAGGAACAGTACATTGCCCGGATGACATGGTCACTGTTTGAAAAATCTGGACAACAGACTCAGAAGGCAAAAGGCATAGAGCCCACAGAGCTTGGGGCATTTGGGGGGGCAAGAACCTCTTACATCCCAGAACCAGAAAGGCAGAGGCCAAAATCTCATAAGATAAGACCAAGAAGCCTAGAGAAACATTTGAAAAACCTTAAAGTTTATAGCACACTGTGTGAGGGAGGACACCTAGCCTAGAGCAACACCAAGCCCCAGGGCCCACAGGAATACTTGGGGACATACAGCCTGTGAACTGGATGGTCATTTCACCAAGTACTGGAAGGGACACATTGGAAAATAAAAGGCAATCTCTCTAAAAACTGCTTGGCCCAAATCCCAAGAACCAGCAGCCATGCAACCTGGAAACCAATGGTAACCCAGCACAGGAAACAATGGCCACTTTGCAAATCAAGAACCAATGAGCATTCGGCCCAGGAGCATACAGGGAAATAACCCTGAAACTGGTGGCCTCTCAGCCCAAGAACCAGCACAGGTGTAATGGAATGTCACTGAACCAATGAGATGCTATAACAGCAAATTGTTACTCAATTGGATATCTTGGGCATGATGAGTATTCCAAGGTCACACCCTCCCACCCAACCTCTCTTATTCTTGGTGGTATTTGTGTTTTGTAAAGACTAGTTACTGAATAAGAAACCATCCTCCAAATAATCAGAAGAGCATAAGACTTTGCTGTAACGTGTGTTATTTAGTTGGTGAAATACAGTTCTGTTTATTATTGCAGTGTATATATTATTGATCTAGATATTTGAAATATATTTTTGTATGTTAAAATGATATAATATGTGCCCTTTTACATGACTTTTAGTAAGCAAACATTTGTGTTATAATTAATATGGCTTCTCTTTTGTAGAGTATGCTTGAGTTAGTACAGTATCTGTGTTTATGTACACAGACAGATCCATGTAGAGGTCAATAACGTCTTTATCTCAGCAAGGCTGAACACTGCTTGCTAGTACTGACTCCAGATTTCTAGTTTATCATCTTTTATAATAAGATCCAATTCCTCATATATAGAGGGATCCTGGTTTTTCTGTCTTGTAAATACAGTATTTTGCTTTTTGAGTAGAATTAGAATGCTATAATGTATTGCTTTCTTTCCAGATTCTTTGGCAAGTCAAACTTGTTATCTTCCAGTCATGTAAGAAATAAGTAGTTGATTAGATTACCATTTTCAAAATAGTAATTTGGTTCTGCATCTCCTTGAGTTTTTGAGTCTTTATATATTTCAGTAAAGTGAAAGATAATAAATTGTCTTCCTGTTTGTGTATGATGCCTAGCTTCCTCAAGGAGCTCACATGAGGGCAGCAACCACAACAGTAATACCCTTCAAGTCTCCCTATGTAGGCAGGAATCCCAGGCTTACTCCTTAATGTCCCCTGCATCCTCATAAGATTTTGCCTTTCTGTACTCCAATCATCTTCCTCCTTGGATGCTGGTGACTTTCTTCCCTCAGCCTAACTTCTTTTTCCTGACCTGTGTGCCATCTTGTTACCAAATATTTCCTCCACTCAAACCATCTAAAAGTAATTTCTTCACATGTGGTTCCATATCCTCGTCTCTTGCTTCCTCAATTATCTCTTATCTTTCCCTCTACTGCTGCCTTTTCCTTGCTAAACACTGATGCCACAGCCACCCCCTCACCAGTTATTGATGCAACAGCTTTACAAACCAGCTATCATGCAGTGGGAAAAAGAAACATGAATACTGATGTAAAAACTGTCTTTTGGGGTTATTACAACTTCAACCATTGGTTCTTGTTGGGTTAAAAAATTCATACACGGAACAAAATTTGACTCGTAGCGTGATTGTCGCCCTCCCATTATTTTATGAGGAGGATATTTAGAGTCTGGCTTTGGACATCTGTGCGAAATATATGCTAGGCCAACTTTGTTTGCTTTGAGGTGTGTTTAATGATGTGTAAATACATTTCCCTGGAGTATTTTGTTGTTGTGATCTCATTACTCTTATTTAAATGGGAAAGGGGTGGGGGGTTCCTCAGTGTGGGTCTATCCCTGATCCTGCACATACTTCCCTCCTCTCAAAGAGGGCAAGATCGTGGTAAGAAAAATGAGAAAATCCACACGAACCGTGATGAGGATTCAAACCTGATTTCTGGATATTCCTAGATGCACACTCTTAAATGACTACGCTGTTTAAATGATCACGGCTCCTGTGGATTTTCTCATTGATATATCGTGATAATGTAATTTCTCTGTGTAAGTTTCTGGTACTTTATCATGGTAGACATAGATGGTGACAGGAACCTGGCAGGTCAGGTTTAGCCCTAGAGTATTTGTGCCTGAGCTAGGTGACACCACTGAGGAACCACTGGCAAGAGGCATTTCATTACACTCATTGCGTCATTTATGAAGCAATACCTAAGTCCCAAGTAAAATTATCAACACTTCAAAGCATATACAGTACCAGACATGTCCTAAAATCAGCATTTCCATATTTCATGAGATAATTTCTTGCTTAAAATCCTTCATAAATATAGCCAAAACATTTAAATCAAGGGTGAAATGCTAGCGTCATGTTGTAACTTGGGCGACACTGGCTCCACCCACCAGCCTCCTCACACACTTCTTCATCAACAGAGGAAGTTGGCCATAAGTGAAGCTGAAAAAAAGGACATTGAAAAGGCAGAATTTAGACATGACAAGGACAGATCAGACCTTAAGAAGATTTTAAACAAGGTAGGACTGCTTAGCATGACAATATTTGATCAAATGGCTCTTCTGTGCTGTCTCCATCAGTAGCTCTTCAGTCCTTAAAGCTCGGGTTCCACAGTGCCACCTGAAATGTAGTGGGCCTCTGAGACTTGCTGGGCCTACCGGGAACCAGGATCAGACTGTTACACTCACATGCGAAGGGGGTTTGGCTGCGGGGTCAGAGATCATCCAAAACCATGGAAGCTGCCCAAAATGTCAGATAAAACAAAACAAACTGGTCATAATAAAGAAAATAAAAATTAAGGAATAGGTAAAGAATATTTGACAGTGAGCAAGTAACCTCTCCATACCAACTTGTCTACCAGGCACCAGATGGCAGCTTGAGTTACCCTGGGTCTTGGATCTACTCCAACCTCACTCGTGTGCTAGGTGTCTGCGAGATGTGTTGGCCCTGTGGGGGCCGTTTCATTTTGTACATAAACTAAGTGGTGTTGGTGTTCCTTGGGACATTGGCCCATGGATAGCATTTCTTTGTTGTTTCTTCTTTATGTTTTGCTCATGTGTTTATACCTCTTGCATTGTATATCCCTTGTGGTTTATTTGCTCCAACTTGGCTTTAAGGTTGTTTTCTCTAATGTTTGGATATCTTCCCTTTTCCCACCAGAGGGAAAAGCTTCTTTGAGGGGCTTGGGATTTCTCTTCCTACAGGTCAGCTTCTTTACAGTTGCTATACTTACAGGTAGTACTTGGGACTTGGTCACTGAAAGTGTGTGTTTGGTTCCAACATAGTTATCTGGCCTGCCAGCTCTGCTGGTGGTGACCACATTATTTCCAGGGATGGGGGGGGCCCTTACAGAAATAAAGTCTGTTTGGTCACTCTTATAATAGTTTTTTGGATTGCAAGTGTCATCTTATACCTTTCTTTTCCTTGGGGGGTTATGGAGGCTCTTTCATTAACTCAGTTTTGTTGCCATATTGCCCTGGCTTGGGGCTGCTACTTTCAGGAGATCTGCCACCTGCTTTTTTGTTGTTTGGGTTGGGGAGGAGGCTGGGGATTTGTGGTGCTTCTGAAGATGTTCTGTGGCCTTTGTCTCATCATGGGGCTTGTCCCAGAGACAAGGGCTTTGGGTCCTTTTGTTGATAATGGTGGGATTCTTTGATATTATTCCTGCTCTGTTACTTTTGGAGGTCACTTTCTGGGGGGAGCCCCTACAGCTCTCCGGAGCTTACTAGGCTGATATGCTAATGTCAGACTTTGGCATCAGTCATGTGTATGGAGTTCTTATGGGCCTACCTGGGACTACGAGCCAGAACCTGGCCCCTCTCTAGAGAGGCAAGGGGAGCAATGGCCTATAGAAACCCCCATGTGATTGGAAGCATTCTATGTCTGCCATCAACCGGGTTAGGCACCCAGAAAGGTAGGCATCCCAAAACAAACCCCTATTCTGGTGAAAATTGCAACCAAAAGCCGAACGAGTGGATAGAACTCCCCAAACAAAAACGAGCAAACTAGTATGATGTCACCCGTCATCGCGCCGCTGTCTGCGCAGCACCCCCCTTCCAAGGAGGGGAAAGGGGTAGCCCCAGACCCACCACACCGGCAATCCACACCCCAATTCTTGAGGCTGATGCTATTGGCTCGGTTGTGTGCTCTGGTCTTTTTTCGGCACTGTGCCTTGTGTGTGGCGGCTGTACACCACGGGTGCGAGAGCTGGGAGTTATTCTTCAGTCATCTCAAGACTCAAGATAACTCAGGCTGCATGCGCCTAGAATTCCCTTCCCTAGGTGTCTTGTAAGTACTGCTCTTGGAGCTTGGGCTTACCTTCCACAAGTTCCTCGGGGTCTGCCTCTGTGCGTCCATTTAACTGCTCGGTTTTTCGGCCGCCCTTTGGGTACTTGGGTGTTTTGTCTCCCTCGTTTACTTTAGGGTAGGAGGCAGTTTTTGCACTGGTAAGGGACGCAGGGTGCTGCGCAGCTTGTTGTCACCTATCACAGCGGCTGGCTCTGTTCCTTGGGGTACGTTGTCCTCTTGCGGGGTTTTCTTTTTCTTTTTGAGTTTGCCTTACCTTGTGGTGCTTCCGGGGCTTAGCGTCCCCGCGGCCCGGTCGTCGACCAGGCCTCCTGGTTGCTGGACTGATCAACAAGGCTGTTGGACGCGGCTGCCCCTTATGTGTAGTGGAAGCGTGTTGAACAGTCTCGGGCCTCTGATGTTGATAGAGTGGTGGTGGGGGCCTAGAGCCTTGGTGGAGGGTTCTGCCCTACTTGCCACTGGTGTTTGGCCTCACCCTGATACTTGGTGGTGCCCACTGCTTGGTCCCCGTGAGTGTACACGTCCCTGGGGTTCAGCTTTAGACAGTTTGTTTGGTAGTTTTTGGGCGCCGGTTAGCAGTACCCTGCCTGGGTTTACCTGAGCGCGAGTCCTCTTTAAGTAAATGCTGAGGACCCTGGGAAACCCCTAGGGGACGCGTGGGTTCGATGGATGTGACCCCGGGTTTCCCCTTCACTTCATGTGAGTTTGAGGGTTGTTTGGTCCCCTTGTCTCAGGGCGACCCTCACTGTTTTTGCCTCCTTCACGCAGCCTGTTGGGTCGGTGACACTTTCGATCCAGAGTCCTGTGAGTACTAATGCTTGCTGGTGACTCAATTTACCCAATCTGTGGATGATCATCTTTGAGTACAGGCTGAGCAGGCATTGGATTCTGGGTTTCATTTGTTGCAATGCGCTAGGTTGGTTGCTCACCCGGATTCCCCGCGGCGGCCCCGTTTTGCTTATAGAGACCCGGACTTGGGGGGTGGGGATCGCTTCGACCCTGGTTCAGTCCGCACCTCCTAGTCCTTCCTCTTCTGTTGTTCGTTCTGGTCCCCCTCTCCTGCTTCCGGCCCCGAAACATCTAGGGGGTTCCAGAGTCAGGGCTGGGGTTAGTTGGTCTTGAGACTCAAGCAGCCTCGGGGAATGCCCCTTCCGGAGTGGCGACGGAGGAATTCGAGTCTCCTCCCCGGCTGAAGCCTCTGGGTCTGACCAGTGGGCTTCATTCTATCCGACTTCTATGACTGCGCTGGCCTTGTCTGGTAGGGTAGGTGCTTGGGGGAGGACTCAGCCCTGGGTCCTGCGGAGGAAGACCCGGGGCTGAGGATCATGTTTTATTGAATGTAATGAAACCATTTTCTGTGAGGTCCTTCAGTAGTTCTCCATTCCTGCCCTAATGTTACTTTTCCCATTTTGTTGGAACGCTTCAGACAGCCCTTGTTTGAGGGTGCAACTGGTCCAAGATCCCTTGTCACTAGAGACCCCATCAGGTGGTAGTCATGGGAGCTGGCACACATGCTGTTTTCTTACTGCTAATTATTACTTGTCTTGTTTCTTCATTTTCTTTTCATATTAAGAGCAGTTTTCTGGGGGGAGCCCCGTCGGCTCCCCGGAGCTTTACCGGCTGATATGCTAATGTCAGACTTTGGCATCAGTCATGTGTATGGAGTTCTAGGGCCTACCGGGGACCACGAGCCAGAACCTGGCCCCCTCAGAGAGGCAAGGGGAGCAATGGCCTATAGAAACCCCCGTGTGGTTGGAAGCATTCTATGTCTGCCATCGACCGGGTCAAGCATCCAGAAAGGTAAGCATTCCAAAACAAACCCCTATTCTGGTGAAAATTGCTACCTAAGCCGAACTAGTGAATAGAACTCTTCAACAGAAAACACGGAAACTAGTATGACGTCATACGTCACCGCGCCGCTGTCTGCGCAGCTCCCCCCTCCCCGGGAGGGGGAAGGGGAGCCCCAGACCTCCCACGCCGGCTATCCACCCATCAGTTCTTCGGCTGATGCTATAGGCATCGGTGGTTCAGTGGTAGAATTCTCGCCTGCCACGCGGGAGGCCCGGGTTCGTTTCCCGGCCGATGCACCAGGGGCTGTGGCGCCTTGGGTTGGCGTTTGCTGCCGGTTGTCTCGCCTCCTTGGGGGGTGCGTGGTGTCCGCCTCCCGGTTTTGTCCCTTTGACCTTCCTCTGTGGGTAGTTAGCTCCGGGGAGCCGACGGGGCTCCCCCCAGAAAACCAGCGTTGAATGTAATGAAACGCCATTTTCTGGGTGAGACCCGGAGGCTCCCCGGCAACCCTCCCTCCCTCCGGTCGGCGTTTTTTTCGCGTGTTTTGACATCCAGCCTCAGAACTGATGGGTGGATAGCCGGCGTGGGAGGTCTGGGGCTCCCCCTTCCCCCTCCCGGGGAGGGGGGAGCTGCGCAGACAGCGGCGCGGTGACGTATGACGTCATACTAGTTTCCGTGTTTTCTGTTGAAGAGTTCTATTCACTAGTTCGGCTTAGGTAGCAATTTTCACCAGAATAGGGGTTTGTTTTGGAATGCTTACCTTTCTGGATGCTTGACCCGGTCGATGGCAGACATAGAATGCTTCCAACCACACGGGGGTTTCTATAGGCCATTGCTCCCCTTGCCTCTCTGAGGGGGCCAGGTTCTGGCTCGTGGTCCCCGGTAGGCCCTAGAACTCCATACACATGACTGATGCCAAAGTCTGACATTAGCATATCAGCCGGTAAAGCTCCGGGGAGCCTCCGGGTCTCACCCAGAAAATGGCGTTTCATTACATTCAACGCTGGTTTTTTTTTATTTTGCAATGGCTTTCTGGGTAGTTACCTTAGTTTTGGGTTGATCTCTGATCCTCAAACTCTTCTCGCCTCTCTGAGCAAAACAGATTATGATCATGGCTTGTGGTAGGTTGTGGACATGTTAGGGGCCTGGTATGTGTGGGTAGGCTCTATGTTACCAGAGCCTTAAGCATTAACAAGCTACTTAGAAGCTGCACATAAAGTGCCATTTCATTACACATAATGCTCTACTTGTTGATCTCTCCTTTGTAATTTACTAGTTGGATATAGTACAGTAGTTTTCTTACTGGCTTTTTCTTGTAGAAAGTTATTATACAGTACTCTATTTAAAATTAGCTTTTGTAGACTTCTCCAAAGCCAATACAGAATTTAATTTTTTTATCGTGTACGAATTGCAATTACTGTATAGCATGAGCTTTAAACTGAGAGTAGTAATAATTAACTACAAGTTTCATATAACCAGTACGAACATGACCGACACGATCGCCAGCGGCCGAGCTCTGAACAGCCAGTGTTAGATTCCAATATCAGTGCTCTCCGCATTGAGAATATGGAACTACGAAGAAAGATTGACGATCTGGAGACTATAAAAACAGAGATGCAACAAAAGCACTTAAAGGAGGTGAGTAAAGAATAAGCCTTGTCTGCTTGTCAAATGGAAACTTACATTACTAAAATGATTTTCTCAGCATACCTTGCGATGATTTCAGGGCTCAACGTCCCGTGGCCCGGTCCCCGACCAGGCCTCCTTGAGTCGTATTTCTTTGCATTGGAAAATTAATATCCTACACTTACAGATGTTATCTATACGCAGTTGCCATTATTTATGATCCTTAAATATCAATAAATATCTTTAAATATGTCATAAATATAAATTGCTCACTTATGCTTCTCATCCTCCAGAATGTTGAGCAAGTGTTCATTTTCATTTCTCATCCTGCAGGCTTTTAATTAGCATTACAAGTTAAAACAGTATTATGGTGTTTGCTTATTATATACTTTGTTGGGATGACTTGTGGTATTGTCTTCTTATCTTTTCTTACAACAGCTTTCCATTCAATATGTTGACTTGAAAATAAAAATATGTACTTCATTTAGAGCAAACTTTTATATCTGCTATTAAATTTGAGCACTATAGTCATAAAGCAACTAAGAATTTTTTTGTGGTGGGAGGGGTGAATATTATCATTCTTTAAATGCTTTTTTCTGTGGGGAGCCCCTACGGCTCCCTGGAGCTTATCGGGCTAATGTGTGTTATGTTAGACCGGGACATTAGCTAAGGAGTTCAGACCTACCAGGGACCAGCGCCAGAACCTGGCCCCTTCAGAGAGGTTTCAGGGAGCAATGGCCCTGGAAAACCCCATATGGTTGGGGGTTTTCCTTATCTGCCATCGACCGGGGTTAGGCACCCAGAAAGGTAGGCGTAACAAAACAAACCCCACATGGTAAGACACTACAACAAAAACCGAACAGAGAGGTAGAAAACTCCCTACAATCCCAAGGAAACAAGCAAACAAGCAAACATCACACTTTACTGCCGCGCCGATCGTCCGCGCAGCCCTCCCCACCCCGGGAGGGGGAGGGGGGAGCCCCGGACCTACCGCGCCGGCTGCCAAGCTCCAGTTCGTTCGCTAATGTCAACCGGGATTGACGCTTCTCTGGCCTCAGTTTCCTAGGCGGTGTTTGCCTTGTGTGGCGTTCACTGCCGTGTGTTGTGGTGTGCGGTGGCCAGGAGTACTTCATCAGTGCCGGGGCTGCATGTGCTTAGTGGCTGACTTCCCTAAGCGCCCTGTGAGTACTGCCCTTGCGTTACAGGGTTATCTTCCCTGGGGCGTTCGGGAACCATTCCCGTAGAGGTTCTTGCTGCTCGGCATTTGCCTCGCCCTTGGGGCCAGCTGGGGCTTGGGGCCCTTGTTTGGCCCTGGGTAGGGATTGGTATTGTGCTGGTTAGGGCGTCAAGGTGTTGCGCAGCCTGCCACCTAAGCGGCGGCCGGTTTCTGTTGCCTCTGGAGACGGTGTACTTTTGCGGGGTTTTTCTTTTGTTTTTCTTTTTCTTGCCTGGTGGGGGTCTGCCTAAGGTGGTTATAGTTCCACTGGTAGTGTTTGGCGGCCCTCTGCTAGGCCCCCGTGCTTGTACACGTCTCGGGGGTTTTCAGTGCTATAATCTACCCTCTTGTTATGTTTGGGTTTCTTAACCGGTTAGCAACACCTTGCCCGGGCTTCCCGTAGTTGTTACCCTACGGGCCCTGGAAACCCCTGTCTGGGCTCGGGGGACCATTGAATGTGTCTTCCGGGTTCCAACCCGTCTTGTACGGGATCGTTGGTTGCTGTTCCCTTGTCTCCGGGTGACAGTCGCCATTTTTACCTCCGTCATGCTGCCTGTTGGGTCACTGACACCTTGACCCGGAGTCTTGCGAGTGATTCTCTGCTTGTTCTCCAGTACTCTCCTGATGTTATTACTGTTCAGAGTACAGGCGGCATCCGTGTTGCAAGCTAGGTTAGGTTGCTGCAACATGCTAGGTTGGTTTCCCACTCGAATGCCCCGTGGCCGCCCCGTTTGGTTAGGTGCTGCTCGCCCCTTTCTCTCCATGTTCCCGGCTCCGGACCGTCTGCGTGTTTCTGGGTCGGGGCGGGGTTCAGTTGCGGCAGAGACTCGGGCGGTTTTCGGGGGATGCCCCGTTCGGGTTGGGGACGGAGGTTTGAGCCTGTGCCTCCTGCCAAGGCTTCTGGGTCTTACCAGCGGCCCTTTCTTGTTGCCTTCCCCATGGGCTCTTGCTTTTCTTTCAGGGCGGAGGGCTTGGAGGACGGCTCTGCCCCGGGGCCTCTGTTGTTGGTTCCCGGGGCTGTGGGGGATGCCTACTAGCAGTTCTGGGGCGGTTTTGCCCCTTCAGGGGTTTTTCTGCTGTTGGGCGTCGTTTTTCGCCCTTCCAGTCTGCTAGCTTCCCACATTTGCTGGCGTGTTTTTGTGTATTAAGCGTCAGTCACAGCCCCTGCTGGCGGCCATTTTCGTCTGCCGGTTTCCCGGCGTGGCCACCAGGGCGGCGTTGCCGTTTGTTTACATGCGTCTGGGTGTGCGAGCGAGCGTCTCTGGTGAGTTTTCAAAAAATTTGCAGGGTTTTTGTTCTCCTGTTGTCGTTTCTTTGTTTTTCTGGTGTTTTCTTGCCGTTGCCTGTTCCTCTGGGAACGTTTGGGTGTTGATTTTGGGTCTGAGCCTCTGGGTTTAGGCTCAGTGCCCCTGGCTGGTATGCTTGCTCCCACACCTTGCCCCTCGGTTTTCGGTCTGTTGGGACCGTTTTCCCAGGGCGTTCTGCTGGGGTCTGTGCTTTGCCTTTTAGTGGTGTTCTCCGCCGGCAAATGTGGTGGTTTGGGCTCCCCCTGGTTCGATTCTGGGTTCCTTTGGGTTCCTTGGTTTCGTTCTGGAGGCTTCTTCCTCTTGGGCCCCCTTTTGTGGGTTCAGGGGACTTTGTTTCCTCGTGTGACCCGGTTCTGCCTTTTGGGGTTCCGGGGTCTTCCTGGCTTGCAGACTGAGCTTTTTGGGTCTTGGCACATGTTGTGGTTGTGCTGGGACTTTGTGGTTTTGCTGTCGAGGTGGGCCTTTTGATGCAGTTTTGTGCCTTCTTTGCCTGGCCGGCGTAGTGCTCTTTGCCACTAGTCGGCGGCTTGTGCTTTTACAATATATGTCCTCACCTAGTTGTGCTTGTGGGGGTTGAGCTCTGGCTCCTTGGTCCTGCCTCTCAACCGTCCGTCAACAGGTGTATCGGTTCCTGTGCCTCTTGGGCTGTCATGTCTACATGTGACATTGTATGGGGGTCAGCCTCGTTACTTGTGTGAGGAGTCGCCACATTACTTCTTAGTGCTTTCCCGTTCCCATTCTGACACTCAAAAAAAAAAAAAAAAAAAAAAAAAAAAAAAAAAAAAAAAAAAAAACTAATTCTATCTGTGGCTCTTTTGGGTACTCAGTTTCCACCTGTGTCCCCTAGTGCGTGTGCCCCTTGTGTTACATATCCTGTCCTTCTCAACCCTGTCGATTCCCTTGGGTATCTTGTATGTGGTGATCAGGTCTCCCCTCACTTCCTCTTCCAGCGAAGTGTGGTTTCATTCCCGTAGTCTCTCCTCATGACTTCGGTAGTGTACTTTTCTTTCTGAAGGGGTTCTGTTCCCTTCTCTGTTGACTGGGCGCTGGGGGAGCAGCTTGCTCTGTTGCCTCTCGCTTGGTCCCGCTGTTGGTGGGCGCTTTGGGTTGTCTTCCGGTCTCTGCTGGCGTCGGAGGACGGCTTCTCCCCTTGGGGGGGGTTCAGAGCTGGCGGGGTGGGCTTCTTCCCTGCGCTTCGTCATTTCCTCTTCGTGGGTGCGTGGGGCGTGGTCGTTCCGCCCCATCCTTCTGGGCTTCCCGTCTGCTCTTTGCAGTCATGAGCTTTTCCAGTCTGCAGTTCTTCTGGACTACTTCCGTCTGCGCCCTGGATCCTCTGCCCTGCTCGGAGGACTGTTGTCTCCTGTTCGGATTCTGTTAGGGCCGGGTGCATGGTTGGTGGACCTGGACCTCCAGGTCACTTCTTGGCACATTCCTCTCCAGTTTTTCTGGGGCTAGCACGGTTGGTAATTACCTATGTGTACTTACCTAAGTGTAGTTACAGGATGAGAGCTACTCTCGTGGTGTCCCGTCTTCCCAGCACTCTGTCATATAATGCTTTGATTATAATTGTCATATTGTCATATAATGATTGTCATATGTCATAATATGTCTTCATATGATTGTCATACAATGCTTTGGTGGTGGGGCTTCAGGTTTGCTGTTTTTATTGCATTCCCTATTTTGTGAAGGGCACTTTGTATACTCTTTGCATCTTTACCGGATCTTAGTGCCCTGTCTGCGTCTGAGATTCGGTGTCTGGCCTACCTCGACGACTGGCTGGAGTGGGCTCCCAGTCAGTCCGCTTGTCTGCTCGCCAGGGGATGGTTCTTTCCAGATCGCTGGGTTTGGTTTCCTGGTGATCTGGAGGTTTTACCTTCTGTTCCGTCCCGGGTTCGGACCTGGGCCTTGTTTCAGGCTCTTGGGCCCCTCATTGTCTTCCCTCCAGAAGTGTTACTGTGGCTGTGGTCCCGCCTTTGGCTGTTCAGGAGGGGGTCCCGGGTTGCTCAGCGGTTGCTTGGGCGGTTGTGCGGGAGTTTGCACTTCGGCGTGCTTGTCTGCCCGCAGAGTCGGGTTTGGCTCCGGCGTCGGTTGGTTCCTACGGAGACTCCACTTCCGCCTCTTGCATTCCTTGGGTTCCTCTGGGGATCTGGTGTTGGTGCTGCGTCACCAGCTTCCTCTTTGGGGTTTTCGGGGTTCCGTGCCTTGGCGGCTCCCCGAGCCTTCGCTCGATGTGTTCACGGACGGGTCGTCTCTCGGCTGGGGCTTTGTGACCTGTGCTCACCAGGTCGGCCGAGGTTGATGGAGTCTGTCTGTCCGTCGGGCTCACAGCCCGGTTCAGGTGTTCATGGCTGTCTGGTTTGCGCTTCGGAGGGTTTAGGTCACTAGGTACTCTACCGTTCAGCTCTGTTTGGACTGTTCTCTGGTGGTTCTTGCCGGAACCACAGGGGGTTTGGTTAACCGTGTGGCTCGTGTCCGGGGTGTGTCCTGCGTCCTGGTGGACAGCTGTCTCGGTTCATTCCTCTTCGTGGGTTGGCCAGTCGTCGCCGATTCGTTTTGTTGGCTCTGTTGGGCTTATGGACTCCTGGCCATGGACGTCTTCGGGTCGGCGTGGTCTAGGCGTCGCCCGTTTTGTGGCGCCCTTCCCACCTGCGAGGACTTCACGGTGGAGGCTTTCGGCAGGCCTGGTCGAGGTGGGGGGTACCTGTACCTCTTCTCCCGGTCCAGCTGTTGCTTCGGGTTCTGGCTCAGTTGCAGCCCATTCCCACGAGAACAGTCCTTATGGTTCCACTGTGGCCGGCCCGGCCTTCTTTTCAGACGCTGCTTGATAGGTGTCCGTACCCGGGGCGTTTTTCCTGAGGCTTCGCCTCTTTCGGCAGGCCGAATCGGTCCTGTCCGTGACTGGTTCGGCCTTCTCTTTGGCTCTTCGCGTCTGGTATTTTGACGCAGGTATCGCCATCTCTATGGTGTTCAGGTGGCTTTGTTGACGGTGTCCCACCTGCGAGCTTCGTCTTGGAGACTGTATGACGTTTATTACGTCTTCTCGCGTTTTGTTTCCCCTCCGGCCTGCTCATGAGTCGCCTGAGCCATCCTGGTCCTTGTTCAGGGTGCCTTCTTCTCTTCCCCTCAGTTTGTGGTAGCCCCTTCGGTTTCAGTTTCCTCCTCTTTGGTACTGGTGGTAGCTTTATTGGTGTGCAGCCTTTCTCTGTCCTGGCGACGGTCGAGACGGCTGCTTTCCGGAGGGGTTCTTGGGGTATTGGTACTTGTTTGGTTTGGCCGGGGGGTGCGTCCTGTGTTGTCCGGTTGTGCTTTTTGCTGTTGCCGGCGTACCGTGCCTGGGGATGCGCTGTGGTTGATCCGGTTCCTTCGTTCCCTGTTTTCAGGGCTCGGGTCTCCCGGGTCGTCCGCAGTGTTTTCCTTCTTATTGCGGTCTGTCTTTGCGCCCGTGCTGTTCAGACGTTTACAGCAATTGCTGCTGTGTTGGTGACGTCTCGGGCTCATTTCGGGCGCAGGGAATTGTGGGTCGCACAGGTTTTTGGCCGCCCATCCATGTGTATGTCTGTTCTTGGGCGTTCTTGTTGCCTTGGGTCGCAGGTTTGCGACCGGTTGTCTTGGCTTTGCGTTGCAGAGTTTGTGGCGGCCGCCTCCCGGGTTAGCCCTTTCTTTTCCTTCTCTTTGGGTATGAAGCTCCAGGGAGCCGTAGGGGCTCCCCACAGAAAACCAGCGTTGAATGTAATGAAACGCCATTTTCTGGGTGAGCCCCGGAGGCTCCCTGGCAACCCTCCCTCCCACCGGTCGGCGGTTTTTTCGCGTTGGTTGAGGCTTAGCTTCCGAACTGGAGCTTGGCAGCCGGCGCGGTAGGTCCGGGGCTCCCCCCTCCCCCTCCCGGGGTGGGGAGGGCTGCGCGGACGATCGGCGCGGCAGTAAAGTGTGATGTTTGCTTGTTTGCTTGTTTCCTTGGGATTGTAGGGAGTTTTCTACCTCTCTGTTCGGTTTTTGTTGTAGTGTCTTACCATGTGGGGTTTGTTTTGTTACGCCTACCTTTCTGGGTGCCTAACCCCGGTCGATGGCAGATAAGGAAAACCCCCAACCATATGGGGTTTTCCAGGGCCATTGCTCCCTGAAACCTCTCTGAAGGGGCCAGGTTCTGGCGCTGGTCCCTGGTAGGTCTGAACTCCTTAGCTAATGTCCCGGTCTAACATAACACACATTAGCCCGATAAGCTCCAGGGAGCCTCCGGGGCTCACCCAGAAAATGGCGTTTCATTACATTCAACGCTGGTTTTTTCAACTCTGTAGACACTGGACATGAGTAGTGATCACCGCCGAGAGCGGCAAGTAGACAGTGAGAAGATCCGTCGCCTCACCAACCAATTGGAAGGCCTACGACAGGAGAAGGAGCGATGTGAGCTGAGACTCCACTCACTTGAGCAGCAGGTGATGTAATGGTCATCCTACTAAAAGATTTATTCATTTAAAGTGTCTTCATTTAAATTTGCATATTCTGTACAACTTAAAATACTTGATACATTGTTATTTGCTCAATAATGGAGCACCTAACAGTTTTATGTACTCTTTTCATTTATTAATTTTTCTGATGCAAATAACCCAAGCCACACACACACACACACAGTGAAATGAAAGTGATGATGTGTGGGTCAGGTTATTTGTTTCAGCCACATTATTGGAACTTATTCTCTGCATATGATGCAAAATAGGATTCAGTTGAGGAGCATTATAACACATGAGTAAGAGCATGGACAGTGACAACTTATAGCAGTAATTAAAATACTATGTTTTCCATCTTCAGATTGCCCAGTATCGTGAGCAAATTAGAGAGTATCGAAGCCGAAGTTCAGCAGTGGCAGCAGACGTGCGTAGAGTGCGCATGTCTATGACTGACTCTCTTCACAATATTGGAACTCATCCGCGAGTTTCTACAGGAGTTTTAGATTCTGAAATTCAGGTAATTTCTTTGTATTTTAGATATTGTACAGTATATCATATTTTTTATGCTTACCTTTGTATTATGTATTTAGGTTTGCAGGAATGAGATAACTGTACTCATAATTGTTATGCCGTTTGAAATGTAAAAGTAATTTTCCTTGTGATCCGTTATTGGCTAAAATTTTATTTACAACACACACACAAATGGTTTGAAAATAAATTCTGGATATATTTTTATAAAATACTGCACATCACTGATGAACAGTATATGTATTTGTTGCTATGAGATGTGATGAGTTAGTTTTCGAAACTTGCTATAATAACAAATTATGGGATTTACCAGAAACTTGTCTGAACTATTACATGATTATATATTCAATATATGTTGATTATTTACCACACACTGTGGGAAATTTATGCACAACACTACCTGCAATATCTTGTAAATACAGTTTCATTATATTTTTCATGTGCAAGTACCTGCCATATTCATAATAAGGCTTATGATAGTTTAAACCGTTTATAATACCAGGTATAGGAAAAGCAAGAACTATGAGACCTTGACTACAACTATAGTGTACGGCAGCTCCAAAACACTTGGTGGGCCACAACACACACACACACACAAACTGGAAAATATTGGAGGGGTGACAGGTAAGCTTCTAACATGGATGAAAAATTTTCTGATAGAAAAATGAGGGCTGTGATCAGAGGCAATGTATCGGAATGGAGAAATGTCACAAGTGGAGTACCACAGGGTTCAGTTCTTGCACCAGTGATGTTTATTGTCTACATAAATGATCTACCAGTTGGTATACAGAATTATATGAACATGTTTGCTGATGATGCTAAGATAATAGGAAGGATAAGAAACTTAGATGATTGTCATGCCCTTCAAGATGACCTGGACAAAATAAGTATATGGAGCACCACTTGGCAAATGGAATTTAATGTTAATAAATGCCATGTTATGGAATGTGGAATAGGAGAACATTGACCCCATGCAACCTATAAATTATGTGAGAAATCTTTAAAGAATTCTGATAAAGAAAGAGATCTAGGGGTGGTTCTAGATAGAAAACTATCACCTGAGGACCACATAAAGAATATTGTGTGAGGAGCCTATGCCACGCTTTCTAACTTCAGAATTGCTTTTAAATACATGGATGGCAATATACTAAAGAAATTGTTCACGACTTTTGTTAGGCCAAAGCTAGAATATGCAGCTGTTGTGTGGTGCCCATATCTTAAGAAGCACATCAACAAACTGGAAAAGGTGCAAAGACATGCTACTAAGTGGCTCCCAGAACTGAAGGGCAAGAGCTACGAGGAGAGGTTAGAGGCATTAAATATGCCAAAACTAGAAGACAGAAGAAAAAGAGGTGATATGATCACTACATACAAAATAGTAACAGGAATTGATAAAATCGATAGGGAAGATTTCCTGAGACCTGGAACGTTAAGAACAAGAGGTCATAGATATAAACTAGCTAAACACAGATGCCGAGGAAATATAAGAAAATTCACTTTCGCAAACAGAGTGGTAGACGGTTGGAACAAGTTAGGGAAGAAGGTGGTGGAGGCCAAGACCGTCAGTAGTTTCAAAGCATTATATGACAAAGAGTGCTGGGAAGATGGGACACCACGAGCGTAGCTCTCATCCTGTAACTACACTTAGGTAATTACGAAATCTCACCATGGGTATTGAAAGAGTGTGTAGGAGCACTTCGTTTGCCACTCTCCATAGTGTACAGTAGGTCACTGGAAATGGGAGACCTACCAGAAATATGGAAGATGGCTAGTGTAGTCCCAATATACAAAAAAGGTGACAGACAAGAGGCACTGAACTACAGGCCAGTGTCCTTAACTTGTATACCATGCAAGGTGATGAAGAAGATCGTGAGAAAAAACTTAATAACACATCTGGAGAGAAGGGACTTCGTGACAACCCATCAACATGGGTTCAGGGAGGGTAAGTCTTGCCTTACAGGCTTAATAGAATTCTATGATCAGGTGACAAAGATTAAGCAAGAAAGAGAAGGATGGGCTGACTGCATTTTTTTGGACTGTTGGAAAGCCTTTGACACAGTACCCCATAAAAGGCTGATGCATAAGCTTGAGAAACAGGCAGGAGTAATTGGTAGGGCGCTCCAGTGGATAAGGGAGTACCTAAGCAATAGGATGCAGAGAGTTACAGTGAGGGTAAGACCTCAGATTGGCGGGAAGTCACCAGTGGAGTCCCACAGGGCTCTGTACTCGGACCTATCCTGTTTCTGATATACGTAAATGATCTCCCAGAGGGTATAGACTCATTCCTCTCAATATTTGCTGATGACGCCAAAATTATGAGAAGGATTAAGACAGAGGAGGACAGCTTGAGGCTCTTCTTGAAGCCTCAAGCTGTCCTCCTCTGTCTTAATCCTGGACAAGCTGCAGGAACGATCGAACAAATGGTTGTTAGAGTTTAACCCAAGCCAATGTAATGAAAATAGGTTTAGGGAGCAGGAGACCAGATATAAGGTATCATTAGGGAGATGAAATACTTCAAGAGTCAGAGAGAGAGAAAGACCTGGGGGTTGATATCACGCCAGACCTGTTCCCTGAAGCTCATATCAAGAGGATAACATCAGCGGCATATGCCAGGTTGGCTAACATAAGAACAGCCTTTAGAAACTTGTGTAAGGAATCTTTCAGAACATTAGATACCACATATGTCAGACCAATCCTGGAGTATGAGGCTCCAGTATGGAGTCCATATCTAGTCAAGCATAAGACTAAACTGGAAAAGGTTCAAAGGTTTGCCACCAGACTAGTACCCGAACTGAGGGGTATCAGCTACGAGGAGAGACTACGGGAATTAAACCTCACGTCACTGGGAGACAGAAGAGTTAGAGGGGACATGATCACCACATACAAGATTCTCAGAAGAATTGATAGGGTAGATAAAGACAGACTATTTAACACAAGGGGCACATGCACTAGGGGACACAGGTGGAAATAAAGTGCCCAAACGAGCCATAGAGATATTAGAAAGAATTTTTTCAGTGTCAAAGTAGTATACAAATGGAATGCATTAGGAAGTGATGTGGTGGAGGCTGACTCAATACACAGTTTCAAGTGAAGATATGATAGAGCCCAGTAGGCTCAGGAACCTGTACATTAGTTGATTGACCATTGAGAGGTGGGACCAAAGAGCAAAGCTCAACCCCCGCAAGCATAACTAGGTGAGTACACCGTCAGGTTGAAGGAACCATTATTGGTGATTTTTTAATGGATCCATTATCCAAGCTCTCGTGTCAACTACTCTTCCCTTCCTACTTCTGCCTAAAATGAATGTTCTTGGCGATTGCTTTCTTCATACTTGTGTACGACTACTTTTCTCTTGGCCTTTACTAGACTTGTTTACTTTTCAGTTTTGATTGTGAAGTTTTAATTATAAAATATGAAATGCTGGCATGACATCTTTGTTTCTCTGCACTTTGAATATTGCATGTTGAAGTCCTATTTGAGGCTTACTGTTGCTATTTTCATCTCGTGGATCCTCAGGGTAAAACCCTGGCACAATTATTGTTCCTAATTTGGTTATTCCCCTGCTCTCCTGTGGATTATATGTAAATTACAATGTTTTGTAAATAGTACGCACATTTATGCATACCTTTGTTAGTGTTCATGGTGGCTATGGACTTTTTCTTAAATTTTCCACATGGCTATTTCAATAGTTTGCGAACATTAAAATGGGAGTATTATATAGGTATTATGCCCCTGCCACTCATCATTACAGAACATTGTTTACTTTCCAATACTTTGCTCTTCTGGTATTTCAAGTCTAATTTTGACAGGAAAAAAAAAAGTTTTACCTCTGTTTTATCCTTTTCACCAGCAGTCTCTTCTTTGTTATTTATATTTTCCTCTAATTAACTGTTGTTGTTTATTGGTATGTAAGAGATGACATGTTGCTTTAAGTACAGTATTTCTCACACCTGTCCTATACGTGCCAACTCCTCTCACACCTGTCATGTATTTGCCAACTCCTCCCACACCTGTACTGTACTTGCCGACTCCTCTCACACCTGTACTGTACTTGCCGACTCCTCTCACACCTGTACTGTACTTGCCAACTCCTCTCACACCTGTACTGTACTTGCCGACTCCTCTCACACCTGTACTGTACTTGCCAACTCCTCTCACACCTGTACTGTACTTGCCGACTCCTCCCACACCTGTACTGTACTTGCCGACTCCTCTCACACCTGTACTGTACTTGCCGACTCCTCCCACACCTGTACTGTACTTGCCGACTCCTCCCACACCTGTACTGTACTTGCCGACTCCTCTCACACCTGTACTGTACTTGCCGACTCCTCTCACACCTGTACTGTACTTGCCGACTCCTCCCACACCTGTACTGTACTTGCCGACTCCTCTCACACCTGTACTGTACTTGCCGACTCCTCCCACACCTGTACTATACTTGCCGACTCCTCTCACACCTGTACAGGTACAGTACTGTACTTGCTGACCCCTCTCACACCTGTACTGTACTTGCCAACTCCTCTCACACCTGTACTGTACTTGCCAACTCCTCTCACACCTGTACTGGACTTGCTGATTCCTCACACACCTGTATATTACTTGCTGACTTCTCTCACACCTGTACTGTACTTGCCAACTCTTCTCACACCTGTACGGGTACAGTACTGTACTTGCCGACTCCTCTGACACCTGTACAGGTACAGTACAGTACTGTACTTGCCAACTCCTCTCACATCTGTACTGTACTTGCCAATTCCTCTCACACCTGTACTATACTTTCTGACTCCTCTCACACCTGTACTTTCCAACTTCTCTCACACCTGTACAGGTACAGTACTGCACTTGCCGACTCCTCTCACACCTGTACAGGTACAGTACTTCACTTGCCGACTCCTCTCACACCTGCAGTGATCACCGCACACCTGTACTTGCTGACTCCTCTCACACCTGCAGTGATCACCGCACACCTGTACTTGCCGACTCCTCTCACACCTGCAGTGATCACCGCACACCTGTACTTGCTGACTCCTCTCACACTTGTACACACAGAGAAAATCAGTAGGAATCAGGAGGTTTCAAATCCGTTCACTTGGTACTCCCAATCCTCCTCATGGCTTGTACTGATTTTCCCGGTGATACATCAAGTTACGTAATTTTATTGTACATTTTGCACATACTTTATCTGTATATGGTTAATCCTTGTCTGTCCATAATCCAATTGTCATCATTTTCAGGCTTCAACTACTTAATTTACCCTCAAATCCTCTGTGATTTTCTTTAAATACATCAGCGTACGGTGTCTTCTTTGAACCTACGCCCACTCACCTCATTGACCAACCTTCTAAGTAATGCTGTAATTACTTTACAATTAATTTATTTTCTCAATAGTATTATGTAGTGCCGTTGATAATTATGACATCGATCTATCATGGATCAATCTATGATATCAGTAAACTTGTGCATATAATTCTTTTTTGCTGGACTATATTTTTTGGTCAATTTGGCAAGATATATGTAATTTTAAAACTGCTGTGATATTTGCAATGCCAAAAGTTTTATCGCATGGAAATCTTGGCTTGTGCACTGATACTTGAGTGGGCTATGCCACTCTCAAAGATGGAATTCATTTTAGCTTAAGATAAATTAATTGATGATTTATTGATCTAGGTCAGAATGCCCTAGCCTAAGGGTAAGTAGCCATTTTCAGGTATGCATTCATTGCTAAATTTGAATATGCAACATATCTCAGGTAATAGGAGAGTTCCGGACAGTGGGTATGATAAATACCATGTGAGAGAACAGCTCCAGACAGTAGGTACGATGTGCAACATGTGACTATAAAGGTTCCAGTCAGTGGGTACAACACATGACAGAAGAACTTTAGACAGTGGGTATTATATGCATGTCTTAAGGGACAAAAAAGAAATGTATACAGTTTGAAATATCACTAATTCAACATCTTACATTAACAAATGTTCCAGCACTAGACATTGCCACCTATTCTAGAAATAACATAGAAAACTAAGAATTATATATATTGAAATAAGGCTTGTTGCACAGCTAAGTTTAAAAGTTTGGAATGTGTAAATGACTGTTGTAACTTACTGGAAAATAATTTTGCCAAGAATAATTCTGAATAACTAGGACACTGGCAGGAGACACGACATCCTGTATTGGTTAATACTTCATAAGAAACGAAAAACTTCTAATATGAGAGTATACAATATACTGTATACTTGTAGTATACAGTAGGTGTATAGAGATAAGGAATAAAGTACTCATGCTTGTAACAATAGCATGGCTGCTCGTTTTAATTTTAAGGTAAAGTACAGTAAATGTTGATGTTATAATTGTTTGTTAAACAAGATTTATTTTCAATATTTTCTGATAAATCCTTAATCTTCTTTTCTTGATCTATCCTCTATGTTTAATAGAAAATAATTGGTAATTTACTTTACATAAATATTTGAGAAATTATACTGATTGAAGAATGTTACACGACTTATGTGTGCAGTCAGACTCGACTTCCAACTGAAGTAAAACAGTTCTTTATATTCAGTACGTTATGAAAGCTAGTTTTATTCAAAATGGATCATGAAAAATCTGATAATTCCTTAATTTTCATAAAATTCAAAGTAATTCATTACAGTACTAAAAAACTGTTTAGTATTACTGTGTACAGAACCATTATTTGTTTAATTCTAGTCTTTGAAGTAGTACTCATCCTTATCTATAACTGCACAAAAAATACACCATAAATCAGTACTGCATCTGCTTGTTTTTTCCATCAGCGGAGTTATGACCGACTACCATCTGCATTGCGTAGTCAGTTCCGCCTGACGGGGGGCCAACGTCGCCATCCCCTGGCCCCCACGGCCTCTTCCCCACACGTACATCAGCGCTATGGTTCCTTACGCTGTAATGTTTCCAATAACTTCTAGTCTTGTATCTTCTGTGAGCAAATCTATTAAATGGGACACGATTATCACCTCTAAACTTTTACACAAAAATCGTGTCCCGTCTTAACCGAACATTTATGTTGACGAGAGATCCAACACAATATGAGCAAGTTCCGAAGCAATGGTCAAAAGAAATTGTACCATTAAAATTGATAATAAACAAATATTTAAAACTCAGTAAAGTAGTTTATTTCTTGATTCTACTTTGAAAAATATAAGTATTAAAATAAAGTAGAAATAGATGAAAGTTAAAGTAGAATATACTACAAATTAAGTTAGTCAATTACTGTACATGCTTTACTTAAAAAAAACAATAATAAGCAATTGGCTTATATTAGGGAATATATTGAATTTATATGATCTGCATTCCCTGCATGTATTATAATTATTTTATAAATCAATTTTTTTTTTTTTTGTAATTGCAAACACTTGTTCATGGCGTGAGAGTTTCATGTGATACGCACGGGATGTCATACATACATACATACAGTATGTAGAGATCATTAGTATACAGTATATGTAATGATCCACGAGAGCAAAACTCCTACTGCTGTTCCAGGATAAGACCAGAAGCTGTATTGGTTGAAATAGTGTTTTTACTTGCCTAAATTTGTTGAAATTAATATTCAGAATGTGGCCAGATACACAAAGGTATTTAAAATAAAGCATTTCAACATTTCTGATTTACAAGGTACAAGCGAGATCTTGAAAAAACGTATTAGCAAAGTAAATAATGGATATTATATAACTAATATTTTCTCTGAATACACTGAACAGAATTAATAATTTTAAGCCTATGTCAAATATACTTTCCTACTCAGGCTCTCTTTCACACAGTAAGTGACTTCCCTGCAAACACACAATGTAACGGTCCCTATTGTTACCTTGTTACAAAGTTGTTACAACTTGCTAGATAGTTGTTAGAAGGTGTTATAACTTGTTCGAACGTTGCAGCAACGTCATAGCTTCGTCATGTGTTTGGCGGGTTTTTAGTTAACACATTAACGTTGGTGTCCTTTCACTCATCTTGCACACTTTACGTACCTGTATGTGGATGTGCATGTGTATACACAACACTCGAGAGACATGTCCATGCACATGTGCTTGTATGCAATCACACACTGTTACATACATTTTCTCTTTTTTGTTTACTTTCCATATGAAATTTTAGCAAGCAGTTATCCCATAATGAGAATCATATACAATAACTATGTCAGTTACAAACAATATTCTACATACAATTTTGTTGTAGCATTTTGAGCCAATCCACTGTTTGTTTGTGCATATGAAGAGTAAATATTACACTAGTAAATCCAGTATAATGAATGTACTGTATGCAATTTTGAAAATAATTAGTAGGGACAGATTTTATGTTTACTAATTTCTTCTACAGTCAGAAGTAATTTGAGCTTGCATATTTTTGTGTTGGACTCTCTACAACATTCATGAATTTCAAAGATATCAGATTAATTTATATGGCCTGAATCTAGAGCATGAGTGTTTCTCAAACCCCCTTGAGTTTGATATATTGAAGCACATTTTAGTACTCCTTATGTCCCTTGAACTGCACAGTCTTAGCTCTAATTTGCTGTAATTTTGCATGATAACTAAAGTTCTGTGCACGGCATGTATTTTCCAAACTCTGCAGTGTTGTTAAAGAACAGAATAAAGATGTGGTCAAGTAACTATAGTAATGATTTTCAGGATAACAACATGTAATTTAATCAATTTCAGAGCCTGTCAGGTGGGCTTGCGAGGTCGCCACGCTCATCACGCTCGCGCCGTTATGCTTCGGCATCGCCCAGACGCCGCACTGATCAGTCGAAGAAGACACTAACCTTCACATGATCTAATACACCAAACTTTGGAGATTATTAGACTTCTTGCAAGAGAAGCTTGTCATACCAGCCACACCCTACTAGAATTTTGTACCTATGACCAAGGTATCAGGCTAGTAAACGATGTGGCGAGCATTGCTCCAACAGTGGGTAATGACCAAGTTCAGACTTCGGACCCTCCAATTTGACATCAACAAACTTGAGATTTTGTAGATTGTCTTATAAATTGGATTTTCAAGTTACTATTTTCGCTAGTATGCGAGATAGGGGCTCCTTTCAGGGATGCCTTTCTTGAGTTTCTTTCACTCTGCAAACATTTACTCTATCATAAGAGTAAAATGATAGCAGCTTGAAGGCTGAGAAACTAAACAATACTGCCAGTAATGAAATGTGGAAATAAAGGGAACTGCTATGGAACACTGCCACTTTTTAGTCTTTTTAGTGCTAGTAATTATGTACATTAAAAATTAAGATATAAAGCTTATCTCATAGAACTGTTGTGGATTGTTGTTAGTATGGAAGAGTAACTTGTCACTGCCAGCTAAAGCAGTGTGAAGGTTTTGGTGCCAATACGCTGCATTGAATTTTGATGCTCCATTATTTGTAACGTGTTTCGAGATACTTTTACAAATACAACAAAAATTTTAAATATGTGAATGGAGTGAACTGTATTTTTACTACATGTTGTTTACAGTACAAATGACACAATAGATAAATATTTAAATTTCTAGTCAAAAAAATTTTGAACTGACCAACATCACTGATAACATTCTGCAAATTTAACTATATTTTACTATCTGTTCTCAAGGAAAAATTCCATGGATAACGGTTACCCTTATTTGGCTACCAAAATCTGTCTAGTCAGTGTAACACTCTTGTGTAATTAGGAACAAGAAATAGAGGTTATTCTCAGTGCACATTGCTAGGAGTTACAAAGCAAACCATAGCCTTAGAAGCACTTGACACATGTCCTTTAGATGTGCCTTCAGTTGTTTCAAATTAGCATTGATCGTTAACTGTTTTTGAAGTTTAAAATGAGAATCTAATATGTTGCAGTAAAGTGTTATACTTTTACATACATCACCACAACAATGTCACAAATACAAGTATAATACAATTAGTTATTTATACAAATTTTGGTCTTAATAATACAGATGAAAATTACGAAGACAATCTAGTTTTCATATTTTTTTAATGTTGTACAGTACATTAGTACAGTAATTATACATCTTACAATTTCATTCCAAAATAGGGATCTCACATTTATGTTGCATTAAATTGCATTTAATCTTGTAGCATTTTTCTAAATGTTACTTTCTTATTGATCTACATGTAGATCAACATGTGAAGGTTTAGACGCAGGTCACCAAGTGTATGCTCGGGCCAAATGTACAGCACAAAATCACAATGATATTGGGACTTCACCTATTCTTTATTGCAAGAAGGGCAAATGACAGTCCCAAATCAAATAACTTTTTAAAATATTTTGTGGTTGCTTTTTATTGTTATAAGCATACGACTTGATGTTTTTTATTGTTTTGTTGGTTTATACGATTATACAATATTTGTCGATTATTAGAAACCTTTGATCAAAATCATTTTGAATGAAACTGGATGGGATCAAGTGACTGCCTCAAACATTATACTGTATTGTACTTTTGGGTAACTGTCATTTCTATTCTCACTAAATCTAGTGAATCTGCATGTTTTGTAGATATAGTAAACGAATAAAAGTATGGAGGTAAATAAATGTTTATGGAGCCTTAAATTAATAGGAATGTTTATACTGTATGCAAGTCTGGACTAAAGCATAGTTTTCCTTCATGAAAAAGCACATCAGTGACAACCTTCAGAGTAATATTATCCTGCAGATGTATATGAAATAACACAGCAACAAATTAATATCTACTAATACAGGCATATCTATGAAGTGAACAATAATATTTAGCTACAAGACATTTATAGTATACACAACTACTATGGTCACAAGTGTGAAAAAATGAATGAATTGTGATGCGTGTGTATTTTTAATGTAATGTATTACTGTATTTGGACCTGTCCAGCTTCATTTAGTTTCCATTTTCCAGTGGGCGCACTATCCTGGAGTGGAGTTGGTTCAATGCCAAATCACCATATTGAAGTGGAGTTGACACGGCACCGCTCTTGGATTATTGTGCCCACACTGGGTTGTCATTAAAACAGGTACAATGTTTCAGTGTTCTTTGAGTAGGACACCTGTCACAGGAGACTGGGAACACCTGCCATGGTCAGTAGACATTGAAAAATATCTAGTGTTTGTTTTATACATTTTAATGCACAGTGTCGATATTCTCACAAAAAATATTGGGCCTTCATTTTTTTTCCATGTATAAGTTTGCTTCATAATAGGGTTAATGACTATCACATTGCTGTATAAATAACATTAAATTCTAATAAAACTTGTTTAAAAATGTTGAGGAAGCAAAATGATATACAGTACTGTACATGTGACAGGAATAATTTACTAAATATTCAAGCCTTTTATACAGGCCTTTTCACCCATTTTCTACTAATACAAAGTAGATCTGTTGACTACTGTTAAATCTGGAAATGTACATACTATTTATAGCTTACAAACATTCACTAACAGTATTCAAATGTGTACTCCTGGCCTAAGTACTTATACAGATAATGCAAGTTACAACTCCTTGACAACCGCAATTGATAAATGAACTTTGCTCAATTTTAATAACTGAAGAATGACTACTTCCCCTTACAAAATATGAATGGGAATTCCACCTTTGATGCCTAAGTGTATTATAATGTTTATCTGATAATTTATGATTTTGGCTGAACCCATTGCTGGTCACTGATTCTATTTGACACTTGTATCAAAATAATGATAAGTAGCACGAGAGCCAGTGTGTGATTTTGCCACAGAATTAAAGAAAACGAGACAAGTCGGGCATTGTCCACTTTAGTGACAAAGCGAGTTATCGATATATACACAAGCAAAGGGTTTGTCTTGCGTATGTACACCTTATTCTTTGATAATAAAAATACAGCACAAGAGCTGTCCCTTTCTATAGTATGCACAGTTTAGTACGTGTTTGAAAGTAAGGATATGTAGTAGAAATTCTACTTCAATTAAAACTAATTGCAGGTAGTCTTAATGGTGAAAGTTAAAAAAATTATGAGGACCAATGCCACTAATGGATTACAAAACAAGTAAGTTTGCAGGCGATCAGTCACAATAACGTGGCTAAAGTATGTTGACCAGACCACACACTAGAAGGTGAAGGGACAACAACGTTTTGGTCCGTCCTGGACCATTCTCAAGTTGAGAATGGTCCAGAACGGACCGAAACTTCATCGTCCCTTCACCTTCTAGTGTGTGGTCTGGTCAACAAGTAAGTTTATTGGTTGATCACTTCACCCTGCATGACAATGCCTGTCAGTTAAATTTCTAGCCTGCCTTCCAATTTTCCATCAGTTCATCTGGCTGTCTATACATCTCAATCTATGTCTATCAGTCAAGTTCATGATGTATAGCCTATGTATCCTGTGTGAGTATAGATCACCACACCATATATCTTGCACTTTTGAAACACACTACAATCATACATGCAACACACACACAACACACCATACAAACAACCAAAGGGTGGGTAGACTGCTGAATTAGCCCGTCCTAATGTTGTCCAATGTAAAAAAACTGTCGTACTAAAGTGCCCTTATCCTAACCTAACAGAGGTCCCAAAATAGAAAACAGCACAGTATGTCAATTTTGCGAGCCGCTATCATTTTCTAGTATGACAATTTTTGGCCTTAGTGTGTTGCATTTTGATGTATATTCTACCTATTATGATGGGTTGGCTGGATATCAGTACCAGTAAGTGTATGGTAAAATGGATGGGGAGAGGGGTATGTACTCTGCTACAAAGACATATATTGTACATTTAGTTTACTTTTATTGTGATTTCAGTAAGGATTTAAAATATAATCTTCTAAACCAAAAAAAGATTGTGGCCTCAAAAACTTTACAAGTTGATAGGTCTTAAACTTTAACATCTAACTCAACCTCACTTTATTAACAGTATAAAACACATTTTAATCCTTTATTCTGTTAAAGATTAAAGTATAGTGAAAGTAAAAACAAGAAATTTGCACTATGAAATTGTGGCATTTAACACACCTATCTTAACCTGAATTGAGCCACTTAATGAAAAATACTGGGAAGGGACACGCACTGTCTTAGTATCAAAACCACAGAGTGCTATTCCCCTCACTGGCCTAATGGCAAATGGGTTTCATGGAACAGACAAAAGTCTATGGATACAACTTTCTTTACACAGAAATCAGAGTAACGTGGTATATCAATGCGAAGCAGAACCAGGATTTCACAATCCTGGTTAGGCTTCAGTGAAATCCTCGGGAATCCTTGTGGGTTCGGCAGACAGCCCACCCTGGACTTGGTCTGATGACGGGTTGCAGCAGAACCCCGGGTTGCCATGCATTTGACCATGTCGTGGTCTAGTCGTTTAGAGCGTGCATTAGTGCATAGGTTCGAATCCTCATCACAGCTCCTTAGGAATTTCTCACTACTTTCTTTGGTAAGGACCAACTTTCATACACAAGATCATTTAGGCACCCACAACCCACACTCATTCAGGAACAGGGGGGTCTCTTCATCACCCAGGGCTCATCTTATTAGGAAGGGCAGTAGCTTTTCCGACTTGTTAGAATGATCTACAGAGGGTGTGTTGAAAGAATTAGGGGACTTCTTTAACACTTCCGCTCGGTAACAATGCAGCATTGTGTCATTCTTTTACTTAGGGGTAGTCCGGTAACGACGCAGCATTGCGTCGTTTCCGGCGACTATGGGAAGGGGCGCACCGCAGTTTTGGACATTATATGTATATACTTCCATAGGGGAATTTCATTGCGAATACATTGATACCAAAATGAAAGACCTAGAACCAGAATTGAAGTAACAAAGTTGAAAAGAGTATACCCATTTTATTGCTATTTATTAGTGCTCGCTGCGGTAACGCACCTTCACGTTCTCTGTTTGCTGTGGGTGGGATGCTGGGCTTTTGGACTTTATATTTGCATATACTCCTGTAGGGAATTCTATTGCGAACACAATGATACCAAAATGAAAGATCTAGGACGAGAATTGAGATGTCTAAAGTGAAGACAGTGTACACATTTTATTGCTCTTGCGTGCTCCCGGGGTAACATGCTCTCACTTTCTCGCCTGGCTTCTGGGCATTATATGCATTTAGTCCTGTAGAGAATTCTATTGCGAACATATTAATACCAAATTGAAAAACCTAGAACGAGAATTGAGATGACAAAGTTGAAGAGAGTATACACATTTCGGAATGACCGCACTCTCAATTGTAATGAGAGGCACCTTGGGGTGGTGCAGCGCTCTCTTTCTGGTAATTTCCATCTTGGCGGCGGGTGGAGCGCGCCGCTGTTTATGACATTATATGCATATACTTCTGTTGGGAATTCTGTTGCGAACACATTGATGCCAAAATGAAAGACCTAGGACGAGAATTGGGATGTCTAAAGTGAAAAGAGTACACATTTTATCGGTCTTGAGCGCTACCGGGTAACACGCTCTCACTTTCTCTGTTTGTTGCGGATGGTATGCTGGGCATTTGGACTTAATATGCCTTTAGTCCTGTAGATAATTCTATTGCAAACACAATGATACCAAAATGAAAGACCTAGGACGAGAATTGAGGTGACCAAAGTGAAATGAGTGTAAACATTTTATCGCTCTTGAGCCACGTTCCCAGGTAAAAAGCTCTCACTTTCTCTGTTTGTTGTGGATGGTACGCCTAGCGTTTGGACTTCATATGCCTTTAGTCCTATAGAGAATTCTATTGCAAACACATTGATACCAAAATGAAACACCTAGGACAAGAATTGAGGTGACCAAAGTGAAAGGAGTGTACACATTTTATCGGTCTTGCGCGCTCCCAGGTAACATGCTCTCACTTTCTCTGTTTGTTCCGGATGGTACGCTGGGCATTTGGACTTAATATGCCTTTAGTCCTGTAGAGAATTCTATTGCGAACACAATGATACCAAATTGGAAAACCTAGAATGAGAATTGAGGTAACAAAGTTGAAAAGATTATACACTTTTCAGAATTACCGCGCGTTCCCGCGGAATGCCCAAACCCACCCGGAGTAGTGTGGTGCATGCTCACCCAGAGCATTAAAGTGTTAAGCATTCTGTCTTCAATGGAATTTTGACAATGCTGATAATATAAGCACATTAGCATTTGTTTTGTAGATGTATTCAGATGTCATCGATAGCCAAACCAAAATTATGCAAGTTTCTTTCATATAAAGAAAAACATGTAAAACAGAAACCTACTACAAAAGTGAATCCAAATTCGTGATTACCAATTAAATGTATTCCATTATCCTTACCCCATTACCTATAAAAATGCTCTGCAACTCTTACCTTGCCTAGTCTTGTCACACACCTCCTGGGGTGCAGAAAGGCGAATGCTTCTAGATTTGCATTCCTTGATCCCAGTACAGTACTGTCTAAATTGAACTACAAAATAAATATGCCCAAACATCTCGTCCTGCGCAGGAATCAAACTTGGACCATTCAGTTGCGAGCCGACTGTGCTGACCATTGCATTACAGGACACAATAATATGTTATCCTCCCTTCTTTGAAAACTACACATGGTTATACTAGACCGAACTTACACATCCCAGGCCATTCCTCACTTGTAGTCAGGATAATAGTTGCTGGGTTCTATTTGTGATATTGTATGTATTGCTTAATATACCTTAACCTAGTAAATAGTGCTGTACTTGCTTAGATAAATACCAGGAAACTATTCTGAAATAATGATTATAGGTCCTATTTTCAGGGAAACAAACTATTGCATATATAATCTTAACATAAAATATGACTAGCATTAACATATACCGGTACAATAGCACAAATTCTTACTACATACAATACATACGGTATTACATTTTGGTTCTTACCTATGATAAGAACAGTGTTATTCACCTGCAGAATCTTGTACATAGTGAATTTGCAGACATCATTTGTAATCTTATCTAAAAATTTGAAATATTGATATCTTAGCTATCTGTGTCAATGATGAGCTTCCCATCACTTGTGTCAGAGTCAGAACTGGAGCCAGAGTCACTGGACAGAAGATCATGGAACCTCCAAGATGTGTTATCATTATCTCCCTGGAAGCAGCACTCTCTGATGCCTCTTTCCATATCATGTACGTCCTCATAAACACCCATCTCGCCTACTGCAATTTTCGGATCCCTACGCAACTGGACTTTTGGATTTCTTCGTGCATCTTTCTTGAGTAAAGATTTTATGGCCATTTTCATTGAGTTTTTATGCATCACCAGCTTTATATTTCTTTCAAGGTTACTGATAATTTCATTAGATATATCAAAATTTCCATGTTCATCTGCTTTGTTAGTGCTTCTATCGAAGAAATTTGCTAATTCTCTAAGTCCAGTTTTAGCATCCTGCATCTGGATCCCAGCAGTACCTGATTCTTTCCTCAGGCTGCATCTATTGCAGCATCCAGCCAACATTGGTTTTGCAATGTGTGATTTTCTTAGATTTTTCATTGTTAACAGTTTACACTTACAATTCAAATTGAATGAAGACTCTTGACTGCATTGATTGGAGACCTCTGAATGACTACAGCAGGTAGTGGTGCCCATATCTGAACCATTACAGCACGAGGAGTCCATATTTGAACCACTGCAACAAGAGGTGGTGCCCATATCTGAGGTGGTGGTAATTTTTGTCTTGCATCTGTGCACTTTTTCCTCGTGGGAGCAATCTATTCTTTGGTGTGGTGACAAGGTTGCCCGAGATTCAAGCGTCTCGCCTGAGTTTTTATTTTGAAGGTCGTGTTTACTAGCCAAAGACTCTGAATATTCTTGCCTGGTATCAAATGAAGTGCATTCAGCAGGTATATTATCATCATAATCCTTTGCCTTATTATTTTGGATACTGAACTCTGATCCCACAAGGCGAACATGAATTACAGGTAAAGATTTTGGAATAACGTCTACAGAGTCCTTGCATTCCTCATTTCTTGAAATGGAAGATTGTTTTTGGTTATCCTTGTGTTTTATTTGACATTTCATTTTCTTTCTGTCAGAGTGTTCATGTTCTTTGTTATAAGATCGCTTCTTGCCACTTTCTCTGAGCTTCGAGCGTTTTTTTTGTTTGTTCTTTTTTGTATACTTATTCCAATCACTAATGGGGATGTTCATTAAGAAATAATTATCATCTATTGATTTATCCTTGTCTTCCTGGAGAATATTTTCATTTTTTCTTTTGAAAAGTTGGGCTCCTAAAATATCTGCTTCATTTGTTTGTAAATTGATATTACCAGACATCTGGTTGTAATTCTTAAAAGCCCTGTCATCTGAAGGTGCAGATATAGGCAGATCTTGTAAATAACCTTGAACATCTTTCTTGCATTCTACTTCCTTCCCCTCTTTTGGCGACGCCAAGGCAGAGGGTTGTGATGCGGAGCCTTGCTGGATCATGTGTCTCACCAGGCGTAGAGATTCCTCCAAGCCTTTCTCTACCTTCTTCTTGATTTCTAATGTTTCCATCAGTGGGTCCGGTACAAGAGTGTTCTGAAAGAGGGCCGAATACAGTGGCAGAGTAAATGGCAAGGGTGGTGATGACACTGTGGAGGACAGCAGCTTGAGTAAAGCGGAAGCAGAATTGGGAAAAATAGATGAAGAAAAAGTGGGTGATAATGTTGAAGATGAATGAGCATCAGAACTTGTGGATGAAAAAGCAGAAGCTAAAGAAGGTGCACAAGGTATGGAACTATCTGCTGCAGATGTTTGGTGGCTGCTCAAGGCAGTTTTTGAGGAGAGTTTGGGTGTATGGTTTTGAGTCTCTGGAAGCCTCTTTGGTTCTTCCACTTCATCACAGAGGTTGAAGTTGTTATTTGCTTGGCTTCCACAATGACTCGATGCTTTTTTCATGGTGCTGCTGGAGCTTACGGCAGCTGTGCTTCCATGGGTGTAGGCAATTACTTCTGGAAAAAAAAGAGAGGTAAAAGATATACAGTATTGCATAACAATTTAAAATTATGTATGCTACATAAATTATTAACGGGTCATACCAAATTGGTCATAGCTGTCATAAATGTAAAAATACTGCAGTGTTATATGTAGGCTATTCATATCATAGATCAATTACCATAGCAATATAAAGTATCTGTACCTCATGCACACTGTTTATGATCCTATAGCACTTGGTTGCTGCCTAAGGCAAAGTTTTTCTGATGGACATAATCATGCACACAGGGCTGGTTGACAGTCCATGTGGCACAGCAGGGATCTTCTTAAATGTCCCTGCTTGGTCATACAGGTGCCAAGGTGGCATTGAAGAAACTCAGTCCAGCCTAGAGAACCTCTAGGAAGTTCATAGGCACTCAAGGCCATTCCCTCCTCTACGTGACTATACACAGACTGCCAAGTAATGTTCTTCCTTACCTACCGAATCAAGGGTATTCATCTCGGACACAGTTGTAAGCTCGCATTCAATTCATCAGAGTTCTTGTCTAATCGCACTTTTTATGTTTATATCTGATAGCCTAGGATTATGTTTCAACATTTGGCTTTATTTACTGTAAGCTTGGCAATGGAACATTATCATGTTCTTGTAACCAAATGGTATAGGTATAGTAGGGATCCAAAAATGCCTAACAATTTGATTGCAAGGTACAGAATTTAGAGCACTTGAGGAAAGGAAGCCAGAGGTAATTTAGCTAATTATTGCAATGTTTTGTGTGCCACAATAATAGCCAAAACAATCACACTACTGTATTATTAATGAAATAGCAATACCTGTACTGTGATATATCTGAGAAAATCTTTGGAGCAAAACAACAGGATCAAACGAGTATCCTGGGTTACCCGAGACACGTGTTTAATACTGTACATGGATAACAATATGCTAAAAGCTACACAACCTGGAGTCTGCCCGAACTCGCTAGGAATTTGGAGGCACCGAGCTGGTACTCAACCTAAGATTTCCATAGATACATCATATTATTATGATTTCATTGTGAATTTGACATGAACATTTGGTGGAGAACTGCATTGCCTACACCAGTGTGCACTTGGAGGTTACGTGTAAAAACTGGATTAAGTACCAGCTTTGTGCCTGCAAATTCCTAGTGGGATGGGCAAACTCCAGGATATGTAACTCATATCATAGCATGGGCCATAGGTATTAGCAGGCATAGCATGGTCAATAGGTATAGCAGGCATTGCATGGTCAATAGGTATAGCAGGCATAGCGTGGTTAATAGGTATAGCAGGCATAGCGTGGTCAATAGGTATAGCAGGCATAGCATGGTCAATGGGTATAGTAGGCATAGCATGGTCAATAGGTATAGCAGGCATTGCATGGTCCATAGGGATAGCAGGCATAGCATGGTCAATAGGTATATCATGGTCTGCAGGCATAGCATAGTCAATAGGTATAGCATGGTCCATAGATATAGCAGGCATAGTATGGTCCATAGGTATAGTAGGCATAGCATGATCCATAGGTATAGTTGGCATAACATGGTCCATAGGTATCACAGGCATAGCATGGTCCATAGGTATAGCAGGCACAGCATGGTCCTTAGGTATAGCAGGCATAGCATGGTCAATAGGTATAGCAGGCATAGTATAGTCCATGGGTATAGCAGGCACAGCAGGCATAGCATGGTCCATAGGTATAGCAGGCATATGGGGTGACCAAGGATGCTAGTTCAATCCCACCATCCTAATCCAAAGATTTTATCAATAACAAACAGTTCAGCATAACACGGATGCCCAATTATTGACCAACATTCTTGTCCATATGTGTGTTACTGTTGGGCCGACTGTGTGATTCTGTCCACGGGACCAGCAAAAATGTTGCTTCAGAGAGTAACAGTGCCCTCCTCAAAAAGAAACTTTTCATTTACTGCACACAAACTGTTTTATTTGTATATGGCCCATGTTAGTCTTGTTGCATTTTGATGTGTTTAACTCATGGTTGCTGAATTTATTAACAAATAATATATTTAGAATTAGAACTACAACCTAATTTATAAACAAACATTTTAGTGCCAAAGCTCATTAAAAAACAAAACAGCTGGTAGTAAAGCCACTAGCATGCAAGTTACACCAAGGAATGATAATTAGTAATTATATTATTTTGAAACCATACTGTTAGTTCAACTGAGCAAAACTCACTGTTGTGGTCTGGTGGCGTGGCAGAGAGGCTGCAGCTGTGTGTCGAATCACACAAGTCTAGGGTGGAGAGAATGTTTTTATTATCTACAAATGTTGATGGTGGCTTTATGGTGTGGTGGGAACTGGTGCTTGAGGGCAATGCTTGTGCTTCCTCCTTCATCATCTCCTCCAATGACTGAAAGGAAGGAAGAGATGACAAAATTGGCAGTTTACTGGAAGCTCCACTTCTTGAAGCTAGCCACTTGGTTCCCCTAACGGTGGAGTATCCTGGTAGAGTTGTGGCAGATGTTTGCTCTTCCTTGGGTATCTTGAGTGAATTTTGATGTAAAGTTGATATATAGGAGTGCGACTGGTGTAAGTCATTAGATGTAGTTGGCAGGAGAGGACTCTGATTATCGGCAGGAGGAGTGGGCTGCAGGGAGGTGGGTCGGGGTGAACCCGAATCATCTGATGCAGTTGCTGGCCGGGAAAGGGCCTGTGAAGCAGTGTAGTGACACTTTTGGCATGTGATCTTCACCTGGTGAAAAATATTGAATACATTATTTATACTGTGAAAACCAATTAGGGCATCTGTAGGAATTTTACTTACAATATTCATAATTATCAATATAAAATATATTCCATAAAATTTACCAATTTCTAAATTTTATAAACAGAACTAATATTAAAACTGTTCTAGGAGAAAATGAACAACTATATTTGATTATTACAATGTAAGTACACCCTAGCAGGCACACAGCATTGATGTCACGTTGATCCAATATTGCATCAACATAATTTACATCAGTCCAATGTCACTTCAACATCATGCACCTGCTGGAGTATGAGCAAGAGCTGGTAGCTTGAGTAATGTTAATAGTGTACCTGTGTGACAGCAGCCAGCTGGGCAGAGATGGTGCCAGTGACATAGAGGCAGCAAGCAGCTTGGCAAGACAAACAACGAGTAGATTGTCGTAAAAATACTGCTAGTCCATGAATATCTACCAACTGGTGTCGTCCACCAGCCCTCATCATGCCTGTGCTCCCTACAATCTCCGCTCCATCACCCCGAGCCTCAAGTTTTGTCACCTCCATGACTTTAGTGTCAGCAACTGGAATCTTGTGAACAGGTTTATCACTGTTCTCACCATAGGAGCATTCAGCAGAATGAAGAGGTACAGTCTCTCTAGTGATTTCCTGTAAACTTGCCATTTTCACGTAACTGCCACAAGTTCCATTACCGAGAGTGTCGTAGCAATCATCTCTTACAGAACTCTTCATAACCTTGGATGATACTGTCTGATAATTCGTTGTAACAGCCGCTGGGGAGACCCTGTCGCAATATATCTTACTTGTATATCTTTCAGCTGGGTTGAGGTGCAGAGTTCCACATCTACTGCCTGTGCTAAGATTTACACACCCTATACCATTAGACATCTTGCACCTAGTGTTGTAACTGCAGCTCTTGCCATCACAGGACTGCATAGCACAGTCCTTTCCAGTACCACACTGTGACATCCAAGCCACCTGTAACAAGTCAAATATGAGAGGGAGGGGATCATACAGTGAGGTATCATTACTACACACATCCACAACACCTACAAACACAGAAAATAATATTTAAGGCATCTTGCCAACAAGCATTTTATATGCTAAGTCGGATTCCTGTTTCACGAGCCGAGTGTCCATCCATGTTACTGACCACACGCACAAAACAGTAGCTTCACTGACCTCTCGCAAGCTTAAAACAGTAGCTTCACTGACCTCTCACAAGCTCAACATAGTAGCTATGTTGGTTTCACAAGCTAGCCAAAGTAAATAGAAGGCTCAAAAGAAAGAACCTTGATAGATTAGTTCGCTCCTTCGTGGTCCAGAATAACATATCATCATTAATCTCGTTCATCATTCCTGACTCTTATGTTTTATATTGCTAGCGAGATCCTGTTGTCTGGATCGTTCCTGGAAGGTGTGGGGGAAAGATGCTGTTGCCTGGAGTTTTCCTGGAAGGTGTTGGGGAAGATGCTGTTGTCTGGAGTGTTCCTAGAAAGTGTTGGGGAAGATGCTGTTGCCTGGAGTGTTCCTGGAAGGTGTGGGGGGGGGGGGGGGAGGGAAAGGAACAATCAGGAGAGAGCGTCAAGCCATTAAGACTATATAGCACTTGGAAGGAGTCAGGATTAGTATTTGAGATGGGCCAGGGAAAGGAATGGTACCCAACCACTTGGACGGTCGGGGATTGAACGCCGACCTGCAAGAAGCGAGACCGTCTCTCTACCGTCCAACCCAAGTGGTTGGGGGGGAGGAGATGCTGTTGCCTGGAGTGTTCCTGGAAGGTGTTGGGGGAAGATGCTGTTGTCTGGAGTGTTCCTGGAAGGTGTTGGGGGAAGATGCTGTTGTCTGGAGTGTTCCTGGAAGGTGTTGGGGGAAGATGCTGTTGTCTGGAGTGTTCCTGGAAGGTATTGGGGGAAGATGCTGTTGCCTGGAGTTCCTGGAAGGTGTGGGGGGGGGGAGAGGCTGTTGTCTGGAATGTTCCTGGAAGGTGTGGGGGGGAGGGAGGAGATGCTGTTGCCTGGAGTGTTCCTGGAAGGTGTGGGGAGGGAGGAGATGCTGTTGCCTGGAGAGTTCCTGGAAGGTGTGGGGGGGAGAGGCTGTTGTCTGGAATGTTCCTGGAAGGTGTGGGGGAGGGAGGAGATGCTGTTGCCTGGAGCGTTCCTGGAAGGTGGGGGGGGGGAGGCTGTTGCCTGGAGTGTTCCTGGAAGGTATGGGGGGGGGAGATGCTGTTGCCTGGAGTGTTCCTTGAACGGGTTGGGGGGGGGGAATGCTGTTGCCTGGAGTGGATATGGGACTAGGAGAGAGAAGACCAAAGGGACAGTACACAATGAAGGGGAACTGCCTACCTGTGACGACGCGAGAAAGAGACCTGGGCATGGACGTAACACCTAATCTATCTCCTGAGTCATATATAAATAGGATATCGACAGCAGCATACTCTACACTGGCAAAAGTTAGAACATCATTCAGAAACCTAAGTAAGGAGGCATTTAGGGTACTTTACACTGCCTACGTGAGCCCAGTCTTAGAGTATGCTGCCCTATCATGGAGTCCCCACCTGAAGAAACACATAAGGAAACTGGAAAAGGTTCAGGCGCCTGAAGAAATTGAGCCTTACGACACTAAAAACAAAAAGGGAGAGGGGGGATACGATAGGAACGTATAAGATACTCAGAGGGATTGACAGAGTGGACATAGACGAAATGTTCACACGGAATAGTAACAGAACGAGGGGACATGGATGGAAGCTTGGAACTCAGATGAGTCACAGAGATGTTAGGAAGTTTTCTTTTAGCATGAGAGTAGTGGGAAAATGGAATGCACTTCAGGAACAGGTTGTGGAAGCAAACACTATTCATAATTTTAAAACCAGGTATGATAGGGAAATGGGACAGGAGTCATTGCTGTAAACAACCGATGCCCGAAAGGCGGGATCCAAGAGTCAATGCTCGATCCTGCAGACACAACTAGGTGAGTACACACACACACACACACACACACACACACACACAAAACACATTCTAACTTCAACCTGTGTATATCAGAACAAATCCGGCACTCGTCTAGTCGTGCTGCAAACACTGGGCCTCGGCTCGAGTTTAAAATTTGGTTTTAGTGTTGAGAGTTTTCCATTGGGTTATAAACTTTTGCTGGTATTTTGACCCCTGATGACACCCCCGCCCCCCACCTCCTGGCTGTCATCCGAGGCATTTCCACCCCCTTCCTGGCTGTCTCCCAGGGCGGTCCACCCCTCCTGGCTGTCTCTCGTGGCGGTCCACCCCTCCTGGCTGTCTCTCGGGGCGGTCCACCCCCTCCTGGCTGTCTCTCGTGGCGGTTCACCCCTCCTGGCTGTCTCTCGTGGCGGTCCACCCCTCCTGGCTGTCTCTCGTGGCGGTCCACCCCTCCTGGCTGTCTCTCGTGGCGGTCCACCCCTCCTGGCTGTCTCTCGTGGCGGTCCACCCCTCTTGGCTGTCTCCCAGGGCGGTCCACCCCTCCTGGCTGTCTCTCGTGGCGGTCCACCCCTCCTGGCTGTCTCTCGTGGCGGTCCACCCCTCCTGGCTGTCTCTCGTGGCGGTCCACCCCTCCTGGCTGTCTCTCGTGGCGGTCCACCCCTCCTGGCTGTCTCCCAGGGCGGTCCACCCCTCCTGGCTGTCTCTCGTGGCGGTCCACCCCTCCTGGCTGTCTCTCGGGGCGGTCCACCCCCTCCTGGCTGTCTCTCGTGGCGGTCCACCTCTCCTGGCTGTCTCTCGTGGCGGTCCACCCCTCCTGGCTGTCTCTCGTGGCGGTCCACCCCTCCTGGCTGTCTCTCGTGGCGGTCCACCCCTCCTGGCTGTCTCTCGTGGCGGTCCACCCCCTCCTGGCTGTCTCTCGGGGCGGTCCACCCCCTCCTGGCTGTCCCTCGGGGCGGCCCACCCCTCCTGGCTGTCTCAGGGCGGGCCACCCCCGTCTGCTGTCTCTCGGGGCGGTCAACCCCCTCCTGCCTGTCACCCGGGGCGGCCCACCCCTCCTGGCTGTCTCAGGGCGGTCCACCCCCTTCTGGCTGTCTCTCGGGGCGGTCCACCCCTCCTGGCTGTCTCTCGTGGCGGTCCACCCCCTCCTGGCTGTCCCTCGGGGCGGTCCACCCCCTCCTGGCTGTCCCTCGGGGCGGTCCACCCCCTCCTGGCTGTCCCTCGGGGCGGTCCACCCCCTCCTGGCTGTCTCTCGGGGCGGTCCACCCCCTCCTGGCTGTCTCTCGGGGCGGTCCACCCCCTCCTGGCTGTCTCTCGGGGCGGTCCACCCCCTCCTGGCTGTCCCTCGGGGCGGCCCACCCCTCCTGGCTGTCTCAGGGCGGTCCACCCCCTTCTGGCTGTCTCTCGGGGCGGTCTATCCCTCCTGGCTGTCACCCGGGGCGGTCCACCCCCTTCTGGCTGTCTCTCGGGGCGGTCCACCCCCTCCTGCCTGTCACCCGGGGCGGTCCACCCCTTCCTGGCTGTCACCCGGGGCGGTCCACCCCTCCTGCCTGTCACCCGGGGCGGTCCACCCCTCCTGGCTGTCACCCGGGGCGGTCCACCCCTCCTGCCTGTCACCCGGGGCGGTCCACCCCTCCTGCCTGTCACCCAGGGCGGTCCACCCCTCCTGGCTGTCACCCGGGGCGGTCCACCCCCTCCTGCCTGTCACCCGGGGCGGTCCACCCCCTCCTGCCTGTCACCCGGGGCGGTCCAACCCTTCCTGGCTGTCACCCGGGGCGGTCCACCCCTTCTGGCTGTCACCCGGGGCGGTCCACCCCTTCCTGGCTGTCACCCGGGGCGGTTCACCCCTCCTGCCTGTCACCCGGGGCGGTCCACCCCCCTCCTGGCTGTCACCCGGGGCGGTCCACCCTCTCCTGGCTGTCACCCGGGGCGGTCCACCCCTCCTGGCTGTCACCCGGGGCGGTCCACCCCTCCTGGCTGTCACCCGGGGCGGTCCACCCCTCCTGGCTGTCACCCGGGGCGGTCCACCCCTCCTGGATGTCACCCGGGGCGGTCCACCCCCTCCTGGCTGTCACCCGGGGCGGTCCACCCCCTCCTGGCTGTCACCCGGGGCGGTCCACCCCCTCCTGGCTGTCACCCGGGGCGGTCCACCCCTCCTGGCTGTCACCCGGGGCGGTCCACCCCTCCTGGCTGTCACCCGGGGCGGTCCACCCCTCCTGGCTGTCACCCGGGGCGGTCCACCCCTCCTGGCTGTCACCCGGGGTGGTCCACCCCCTCCTGGCTGTCACCCGGGGCGGTCCACCCCCTCCTGGCTGTCACCCGGGGCGGTCCACCCCTCCTGGCTGTCACCCGGGGCGGTCCACCCCCTCCTGGCTGTCACCCGGGGCGGTCCACCCCTCCTGCCTGTCACCCGGGGCGGTCCACCCCCTCCTGGCTGTCACCCGGGGCGGTCCACCCCCTCCTGGCTGTCACCCGGGGCGGTCCACCCCTCCTGGCTGTCACCCGGGGCGGTCCACCCCTCCTGGCTGACACCCGGGGCGGTCCACCCCTCCTGGCTGTCACCCGGGGCGGTCCACCCCCTCCTGGCTGTCACCCGGGGCGGTCCACCCCCTCCTGGCTGTCACCCGGGGCGGTCCACCCCTCCTGACTGTCACCCGGGGCGGTCCACCCCTCCTGGCTGTCACCCGGGGCGGTCCACCCCTCCTGGCTGTCACCCGGGGCGGTCCACCCCCTCCTGGCTGTCACCCGGGGCGGTCCACCCCTCCTGGCTGTCACCCGGGGCGGTCCACCCCTCCTGGCTGTCACCCGGGGCGGTCCACCCCTCCTGGCTGTCACCCGGGGCGGTCCACCCCTCCTGGCTGTCACCCAGGGCGGTCCACCCCCTCGTGGCTGTCACCCGGGGCGGTCCACCCCTCCTGGCTGTCACCCGGGGCGGTCCACCCCCTCGTGGCTGTCACCCGGGGCGGTCCACCCCTCCTGGCTGTCACCCGGGGCGGTCCACCCCCTCGTGGCTGTCACCCGGGGCGGTCCACCCCTCCTGGCTGTCACCCGGGGCGGTCCACCCCCTCGTGGCTGTCACCCGGGGCGGTCCACCCCTCCTGGCTGTCACCCGGGGCGGTCCACCCCCTCCTGGCTGTCACTCAGGGGGGTGGACCTCTACCCCCACCCCCCGTCAGTATGCCAAGAGTCATTCTCCAAATTTCTGATAGGTTTGGGGCGCTCGGGATTCGTATTCCTGAGGTTCCGGGTTCGATCCCTGGTGAATGCGGGAACAAATGGGCAGAGTCTCTTTCACCATGATGCACCTGTTCACCCAGCAGTAAATAGGTACCTGGGAGTTAGACAGCTGCTACGGGCTGCTTCCTGGGGGGCGTGTAACAAAAAGGAGGCCTGGTCGAGGACCGGGCCGCGGGGACGCTAAGCCCCGTAATCATCTCAAGATAACCTCAAGATAGGTTCATCTTGAGCCAAATACTATAATGTTATAGTAAATACG